TATGGTGCGTACACATGGACGCTGACAACATCTGATTACTCGTCGTTGGAAGACTTGAAAGTTTTCGATGGAAATAAAGGAAGATGAAGGTTCCCACTCTGTTGGAAAGACCTAGTGGAGAAGGGCCTGATGCCAAATAGTGAAAAGAAGGAATGAATGGCGCGTTGTTGTTAACTAATCTGTAATCGCGTAAGCGGTAAAGAATTGAGCAAAATGCTTTCATTTTCATTTCATTTTTTGTCTTAATCGTAGGTCTTCCTAAATTTTCATCAGAGCTACAGTGACGTCATAAGTGGAAGATTTTGATCGACCTTCTCGGGGCTCGTGCTCTACAGAAAAATGTCCAGCGTGGAATCTTCGGAACCACTGAGAAATAGTCTTTAAAGACGGCGCAATCGTTCCATATGCAATTTGGCAATTTCGCTGAATATTTGTATTGGCGTTATCGCGCACCCATTTCAGCCGATCGTTCTAAAATTTGAAGGGAAAACGATATTTTTCGATTTGATAAAAACAAACTGAAAGTCACCAATTGACCGGACTAACTGACCGAACTTTTGTTAATCCCCTCGTATGTATTTATGTATTTTGTTGCTGAGCTAAGCCGATTTGTGTGAATTACTCAGCTGCTAATGCAGTAGAGCAAATCACATTCAATAAATATTCCTACATGAAACTCTTATCCTGAACATGAGATATTAATTTTCATTTTGTAATTGACTAGTCTATTGTATATATTATATATATGTAATCGTGTATACTTTGAATCAGGAATTCCCCATTTTTACATTAAGACCGGGTGATAAATTATGACTCACAAACCCACAAATCCTAGTTCATTCGCTATGAACACATATAGTATGTACATATGTAACGTGTGCGTGGGCATTCCAATAAAATGTGATTATGTAAATATTTTGAAAAAAAAAAATGCAGGGAGAAGGTTGATTAGTATGCAAAAATTCTAGTTAATTAACTGTGTTTTGAAGATGAAATTATACCAGCTGGTTATTTGTATATCAGTGTTGTTGCTAGTTCTATTTGCAATAATGCTCTATTGAAGTGCGTAAAGAGACGATCAGCGCTAAATTGGCATGGAGTGGATAGAGATTATGACTGCAGCGCGTGAGTTTTAGGTTCCATACCGCTGCAAGCAAATCCATTTTCATTTATATTTTTTGGCATAGAAATTCAACATGACGAAACGAACTAGTGCACAACTAGTCTAAAGCTGATTTAGAGTCAGACAATTGATAGTTCATTAGCACATTGCCGTATTAAAAATACTAATTGCAAACATGGAAAATAGATAGAAGATTAACTAGTTAGTGCAAGCTTGTAAACCGATCGGATTCCAGTTCATAACTATTATTTTTCCCTGCAGGGTGAAGTATCAGCCCAATTCTAAATACTCTCGCGGAGATTCACCCTTGTAAATCTTGAGCTTCTCTAAGAAAAAATTTTGATATTTTCAATGGGAATTCTCCAGTAATTCAAGAAACTTTTGACTTTAAGGAAATATTATGCCATATTCATTACAGTTATATGATTCGATCCGTTGGATTCGTGGCTTCTAACTCCTTTTAGAAGTCCAGTTAATTATTCAAGGGAGTCGCGGTTCAACGAAGTACATTCCAAATGCCGCAATATCATGGAACGCAAGAAAACGGTATTGAAGAACAGATGGAGATGCGTCATTGGGGCTTGGGAGCTTTATTACACACCCGAGAAAGCTTCTAACATTATCAGTGTATATTGCTGCCTTCACATTTTAAGTTAACTCTACCTGAGGTCGATGTTGCGGATTGATTGCTTATTAACCGGTTGAATGATCATTACAGCGTTGCAAGCCCTGAGCTCTGTGTAACATTTTAAATGTACGAGTATGTACGAGTGGCTATCTACATACATAAGTATGTGACACGATTGAAATCGTCACGATTTAGAAAAACTTATTGCTAACGGACTATGCCCCTCTTGCAAATATGTGTTATGGAGGTTTGAATACTGCATAATGGAATACCATTTCGAAATTTGTTTATATCTGAAAAAGCAATCAGGTTGTTGTTTTAAAATTTGAAATACAAAATTAAAAATAACTAAAACTACAATTTGGTATTAAAAGGAATATCTTCGAGTTGCCACTTAATAAAATATAATAAAAGACTGTGGCGGAAATGCCAAATCCGAATGTGAAAGGCAAGGCAGGATAAAATCGGAAAACGTCCAAAGTCAACAAGTTGGAAGGCTGGCTCTAAGTGTCACAGTTTTTTTGTCCTACCTCTTTCCTGAACGCTCTCAAGATAACAAACCATCCTTTGATGGTACAATCCCATTCCATATTCTTAAGGTGCAGCTCGACAAGACGACTACAGAAGATAACTAGAGTACTGGGGAAAAATTCGCTGCCACGTTCGTTGTGTTGAAAGAACCAATATGGTAGTTACCAAAAGAGGCAAATGTAGCAGATCGGAAACTGTTACGTACACTATGTTCAAACACAGGAAGCGGCCGCACTTTTATTTACCGCAACGAGTGGAGGTGGAAAGTCAGCTGGATAAATTTTACTGGTGCAACAGCCACAAAGATCTGGACCAGGAAGTGCTCCAACTGAAGAAAATCAGCCAGGACAGAAGCCTGATGAATAATCACCTATCATCTCCGTCCCGCAAATTGGTAGAAAAGCGAGTAACGTTAGAATTTGTACCTACGTTCGATCTGACTATATCGCTAAAGGAATAAGGTCATTGCATCATGATTAGTGTGGACTTTACGCTTTGTTCGAGGAATAGAGATAGACCTAAAGAAAAGTGTCGTGGAGTGTGACGATATAAAAATGGCAACGTTAAATTGTGACAACGACTCTTCGTAAAACTGCAAAAAAGTCTTCCTGGTGTCTTAGAGCAGAAGCGGAGGAATGTACGAGCGTTTACAGATTGTGAGCGAAAGAGCTCTGCTCTGTAACCGCTGGAAATTTTTTGGCTGAACTCCTCCTTAAATTTTTGTATGTGTGTTATGATGTTTTCAAACAAATTGGAGGACCTACACTTAGGTTAGGTGATGTTGATCTGGCTGAGCCATTGGGTCTCACATAAGCGATATTACTTCAATAATGTTATTAGATACACTACATGACCACCCTAATGCAACACATGCATAATACTCGAGTGGAAATTTGTTGAACGTTTGGCTGTAAAAGAAATTTCGAAACTTCTTTCATTAGTAAATGCATTGTTAAAAGCAAAATTTTACATTGTCGAATACATTATCAAATCCAATTTTAACTCAAAGTTTATTAATGAAAACAAGTTTATCTACAAATTAAAATTAAAAGCTCCTTTTGAGCTTTTGAGTGTTGGCTACTCGCTAAGCCACATCTTGCAATGTTTGCAAAAACCGGTTCTTTCATTGAATTTGTAAATGTAAACTCATTTTGGTCAGCTCAACGAGAGCGTTTCTGCCCATTTCTCACTGCTCTCTCAATGCGCTTGCTATATGTTTTCTGCGTTGTGATTTATGCTTACTGGTTCAGATTCTCCTTCAATTATGTCAATATCAGCTGTGCTTCGGTTTTTTTGTTTACCTCAATGCGCAAAATCCATAATAAACAAAAAAATGTCTGCGAATGTCGGCACAAAATGTGGCAAACAATAAATATACGTGCGCAGAGCAAATAGCTTAAATACATACAACACAGCATACAAATGAACTCATGCATCATGTGTGTTATTCATTTCTATATGTATGTATGTATGTATGTAGGTATGTATGTATATAGATATGTATATGGAATTTACATGCTCAGTCTACGAACTATTTCTTCACAAAACTTCTAATGGCAAACGCATTCTCGGGTAGTGATTAAAAGGTCATAAAACGAATTAAGATTTTTTTTTTTTGGAAGTCTGAAGTGGTCTCCAAGTTCTGGCAATTTAACACCTGCTGGAATATGGAGTTATGTGAAGCCTCAGATAAGGCCTAGCGGTTCACTCTTTTAAAGGAGAATATTCACCGTGTTATTGTTGGCATATGTCCCCATTCGCTGCAAAAATTGCGCCTCGCGGCTATATCTTGTTCGGGGCAGCCTCGCGATCACTTGTCCGGATTCATTAACTCAGATTGATTAGAATGTTATTATCTTTTTTACGTTTAGTTTCAAGTAGTTTAATGCTCTTCCACTGGATAAACTGTATCTTTGACGATCTCCATTTAGGCTTCTTCTATTTATAGATTTGGGCACCGCGCGGAAACATGCTTCGTTCTAAGCCTTGGTCTGAGACTAGTTTCTGAAGATAAGTTACAAATTTTATTGTATAACCTTTTTACCTAAAGACTAAAAAACAACGTCTTCCTTACGAACGAAGCTAAGAAATATTCCCAAGGGACTCCGATAATAATTTATGTATATTTCCGCAGCACACAACACATAGTATGTATGTATATACACACATTCTAGTATATATGTATACTATATAATATATAATTAGCGCTTTATAACCGCTTCAGACATTAAGTCATTTATTTTTCCTTTGTTTCTCTCGGACTTTACCAACTCGACTCAGCTGATGACGATGATGCAAAACTCTCGGCTTTTATGTTTCACGCTAACTGGATTACATTATGTGTGCATGCTCATACATACACACATACTTAAGTATATGTGCGTTTATGTCGGCGAGCTGCAGGCGATTGCATTGGGTGCAATTCGTGGAATTGTTGATGTCGCCAGCTGTTGATAGTGGCACCACTGGCACAGTTTCGGTGCACCTACATATCTCGCACTCCTTTATATTTATATGTAGATATCTCATTCATAAACTTGTATAAGTGTGTATGTAGCAGAACTAGACAGAGCATACTCCAACCTGGGGCAAACGGCAACAATGAGTACCTTTGACTACTTGCCACACAATGCCGCTACCAACAGACGCCGCCGCAAACAAAGGAGGAGAAAGAGAAGAAGAAGGGTTGACGCAACTCAAATGAGCATTTTCACAATTGTTTACATTTCCCTTTCTCTACGCTTTTAAGCTTCTGCGCCAAAACACATTGGTTCGGGCGGGCTAAAATCGCTGAGTGAAAATCGCTGAGCGTTGAGCGTTGAGTTAAGGCGCTTTTCTGACTTTTCATTTTAGTCTTGGTTTCGTATCCGTTCGTGGCGTTTGTTGGTCGAATTGGTAGCAAATGTTGTTAGCCCAGCGGTTGTCGTGGCAATATTAAAGTGAAAAAAGTGGAACGAAAAATTTCGAAAAATTGTTTTGTTCAAAAACTCTTTTGCTGCGAGTGTCAATCCTCATAAATTCGTGTAATGAAAAGACAGTTCCAAAGGATTTTCGTGAAAAAATTTTGAGTGGCTTTTAAAGTAAAACATATAACATATTATACACAAACTACATATGTACATACGTACATACAGGCAAACGCGTGAATTTACGTCAACAACAATGCAGCAGAATAATGTGTTTTCCTGGTTGCCAATAATGATTATTCGCATTTGCCTAATTCACAAATCGCCATATTAGTAACCGTAAAAAATAGTAAACAAAAATGTAGCAACTACTAAAAAGAAAATCTATATTCACCATAAAATCGTAATATATTTGTAGGCAGGGGGGTTGAATAAAAACAAATAACAGAAAACTTAATCACCACAATTACATATTGGCGACAACTTTTTGATGCATTTCAATGTGTTGCTAAAAATACAACAACGACTACGTCAGCAGGCTGCGCCCTCTGGGCTACTTGCTTCTCGGTGGCTCTTCGGTTGGGCGCTCTGCATGTTATTGGTAGAACCCGACACCGGCGCCGCCGCCGCTTGCTTTGCGGGCGATCTTGGCCGAGTATAACACAAACAGTCGCAAATTGACAGAAAACACCTAGCTATGCGTATTTAATACCATATTTGCATATCATTGTTGGAATTTAAAATGTTCTAACATAACTTTTTTAATTTTAGCCGTTTTTCCAAAAAAAAAAGAAAATAGAAAAAATCAAACAATAAAAAATACAAATTTTCCAGTTCAGGTTTTTCTACATAATTGTATGTATGTATGTATGTATGTCAGCTGTAGTGATTGCCGTGTACTTGTCATTTATATACATATATATATATAAACATTTGCATGTACCTAAATAGGTATTTAAGTGCACGCTGTCACTACCGTAGCTTTCTAGCTTTCACCTCAGGCCATACAGCCTTCGTACGGACGTCATCATCGCCAACTAAGTGTTTGCGATGAAAAGAGTGCACAAATAATATACATACATATTATATAAAAAGTGAAAAAAGTATTTTTTATTGCAATTATTTCCGTTATGTACCGCTGTCTGCTGTGTGGCTTGGGTCTTTATTGAATTTCCATCGATTTTTTTCTTTCATTAAAAGGCGGTTGGTCGAGTGCTTTGCGTGTGTTAATAATTCTAAACGCGGAGTGCGTGTGCTTCATTCAAATGTACATATGTATATTTGTATGTATGTATGTATGTATGTATGTATGTATGCACTATATGGAAGAGAGGTTTTCTATTCAATTAAACATTATACGATTTTCAAAGCTTTTGTAGAGAAAAACGTGACTCATGCTTTCCAATCAACCCAGCACCGAGCCGCGCCACAAAGCATAGAGACAATTGACGCAAAAGTTAGCAGAGTCGACCCTCTGAGCTTATTCGCATTAAGAAGCGTTTCCGCGTGTCTCTTTAGAAAAATACATTTTTAATATTTTTTCAAATAATGTTTTATATTTAATTTTGAGTTTGAATTACTCAACAGACGGGAATTTTGTATACATACATAAATATTTCAAAACTATGCACAATTGAATATTATGACAGTTAGTTGTTTGACATTTCGGGGGACTTTCTGACTTGTGATTTTCAAAAAGAAATGGTTTGGTAAACAACTTAGCTTCAATATAACGGTAAGACGTTGTAATTGTGTTTTAAAGATGATTTCGCACAAGTGATCGCCGCAGCTGTCTCGTATAACAGCAATAACGCTCCGAAGATTCTCTTTCAAGCCAAGCGGCTTCACATAACTCCACAAAAAATAGTAATATCGGTGTTAAAGCGAAATTATGCATTCACCGCTATTTGCCTTCGTTAAATTGATTGTCTCGTTGGCTGTATGGTATTGAACATTATGGCCGGCTTCATTTATGGAGAAATATGGACCAACGATACCCTCTGTTCAAGAGCAACCAAATGGTGGTTTTTAGTGTGTGTAGATTTTACCTATGAACGAAACCGTTCAACCAAAATTTTATAATGAACATGGGCATCAGTGGCCATCATATTGGGACCAATCATCGAACGTACCACGCGCTTTATGGTCGTTCGTCTTCCATTCTTGCACGAGTTAGATTTTGTAATCCACAAAACTAAGATCCTTCCGAAGAATCTTTCATAAAGTGAATCGGCGCACGATGGAGGATAGACATGACTGAATATAGTAATAGTGCTTTTTCTGGAAAACGACTCTAGAACATAGCTTTTATTTTTAATTTTGGCGCCAATAGTTAAGACCCAGTGAAGCTAAGTCTAATATTTTTTCAATGGAGTGGAGCTTCCATTCTTTTTTATTATTTATTCGATTAATTCGTCATAGTTCGGTGTTAGAGCATCCTCAGCTGGGAAACCGCAATGAACGTCGTTAACCAGTTCGTCCTGACGAATTAAATTTTTAAACAAATCTTAACAGAAGTATTGGTGTTGACGTACAAAATGTGTACATTTTAGCCCGTTATAGTACGTTATAAAGAGGTGGTAATCCTACTGCTCCGTTTTCGTATAGCGTAGTGACAATACGGCCGGGCTCGAGCCCACCATTGTCGACGAGACGAGGGTCTGCACTCTCTGCAGCATGGAGTTATTTCACTGGGACAGCCGAAATGATGAACATCGTCATTCAGCTCTCGACAATCAATAATCAATTGTCTGTTTAGTGAGCCTAAAGAAATTTCTAAGCGCAAAATTCCACAAAAGGGGAAAAAATCTTAAATTGAGTGACAAAACCATGTAATTTCTCATTGCTTAAGAAAAGGCGATACCAAATTAAATATTCGCTTCCAAAATAAAACTAAAAACTTTTAGTGCAGCGCTTATTTTATACTCGTACAGACATACATATATTCAAGTACGTGTACGTATGGACAATTCATATTTATCGTACGCACATTTATCTGAGTGTCGTAGCAACCCCCTTTGGTCAATGTCGGGGTCGTTTTTGTGCAAATGCTCGGTTTTACTCGTACACGTACATACATTCATATATGTGTACATGTGGATGTACACAAGTTAAAGAGATTACACGTGGTAACTTAGTGACAGCGTTTTAGCCGCTTAAACCAACACGTGAGCGATGCGCGACAAGGAAATCAGAGATTGCGTTGGCCTAGACATCCATTCATCAAATTTGAGGTCACTTCTCTTCATTTGAAGAGATTAAAAAAACTAATGCCTTAAGGATGTAGAAATTGACTTGGTTTATTTTCGCATTAATTTTATTTAATATTTCATTATATAAGTCATTTATATGATTTATATGAATAATGCTGCTGTAAGACTCTTTAAAAAAACTAACTGACAACGAGATAAAAAAAAAAAATAGAAAACTGTGTGATACCTCCAATAGAGTGGAGGTTGGACTCCAGGGCTGACTTGTCAGACGTCGTCAAGTTATTATTGTTGCTTATCTTATAGCTGTTTGTTTGATGATAGGAGAGATTTAGGCATGTCCTCATTCCAAGCAGAACTAAAGGAGCGGTTGTTGACACTAATGATATCAATATAATCCTGGCAGATCCTGATTGTTGTATTATTTTCTCCAGCAAAATATTCAAGAAGTTACCTTGTCTAAAACCTCGTTTGGTATCGAACGGCTCGGATAAGTAATTCCGGTTCTGACGGAGCTTTTACCATTGTTTAATATTGATGTGGCTCAACGTCGTATAAATTTTGCGCGGGATACCGAATTCAGACATAGCGCCGTAGAGGCACCTCCTTTTCGTGCTTTTCAAGGTTGCATGTGAAAATCTACTTATTGGTGGATTTACCAAGTCTAAATCGACACTGACAAGGTCAAATACGGCTAATCTTTCACGCAATACGCTCTAGAAAAACATACATGCGATAGTGTGAGACTTATCTCACGGTAATTGGATATAACACCTTTACGTTCCAATTGTCGGTCATGCTTTCACTCGACCATATTTTGCAAAGATGGTGATGCATGCACCTTGATAATTTTTCAGCGCTATATTTGATTTACTCTGTTGGTAGGGCATCGGCTAAAGTCGCTTCATTGCTCTATTCTCTATTTAAACCCCGCCATGGTTGGGTAATGGAATGTCTTTTCCACATTGAGGTTTCGGGTGTAACATCTCCGGGAGTTGCACTTTCAAGCAAGCCATGTGGTCTGAATAGATGAGAAACCTTCAGCCTTAGAAGTACTCTATGCTCGATAAGAACTTGGGTTCATTTGGTATCTACAGTTGATGCCACACAGCATGCTGTTGTTCGTTGAAAAGTAATTTTTCACTTTAATTTCTAAATATTAAAATTTAAACCAGCTGAAGAAATATTTAACATTCCACAATATTTTTTAAGAGTAAGATTATACTTATGAATAATTCATAAGTATATATGTTTGTACATTATGGTTGAAACCAAGTATCTAACCGCAAAATACACGGCGCATTCTTCCTCCCTTTGTTTCAAGCTTTTATATAAGAGCTTTTTGGTATTCTCGGTTAGCTATTTTAACCGCTGAGTATTTCATGCTGTTATGAGGACAGTTAACTCTGATTTTATTCACATAAAAATAAAATGAAATTATTTCTAGTAAAAACTTAAAATTTAAAAGTAGTCTCTTTTATTAAAAAAAAATACAGAATTAATTTTTTGGAGTCATTTTTATCTCTTACAATATGTGAAAAACCTTTTGATCTTTGTATTTTGCAGAAACACTTTTTGAAATGACATATCAGGAAGAAATAATAAGTACCATATCGAAGCCTTTATATTATACGTTCTTGACTATATTCAATAAATATGTATGAAAAATATAATTCATAAAGTAATGTAAGCGCTAGGTCAAGACTGATGAACAGGTCGTTCCATGTTCGGAGATTGATTGTTACTGAGTTAGTCTTTACCTGCTAAAGAAGATATGATCAGAGATTGATATATTTTTTTTATCGCCGAACTGTTGCTTTGTGATCATCTTCTCGGAAGGAGAGTAAAGTCCACGTTTATATATAAAACCTATCAACCAAGCAAATCGGACTTGCGTAAATTAATTCAACGAACTATTAAAATATTTGCCTCAATAAGATCGATATCTGATCTATTTCGCGTAGTTTCAAGTAAAACGAATCAGATGAAAAAAGTAATTAAGGCAAAAAGTTATACATAAACCAAATTTAAATTAATTAGTCTCTTTGGTTTCCCACATCCTTTCAGTTCGATCACCGTATTGTTAATAGAAGTCACCAGTCAGTCTTAATTGTAAAGAGCATATTCTGGAAGGCCAGAGTCCGAGAAGGTCGCCCAAAATCTTGCACGAGTAATTTTGTTGCAATCTCTGAGATCGAAAAAATACGTCCAGCACCACCCCGGATATAGCACTGTGTGGTTTCTGGTTCATTTCATTTTCGTCGCAATACCTTTTTTTCAAAATTTTATTCTTCTGGCAGGTGGCAACCATTTCAAAAATATCGAAACTACACAGGAACACTCCTTCTATTGAAACTGTTCTGAAGGTTTTATCAAAATGGGGTCTATAAATAAATTTCATTCTTCTTTATATATTTAGAAATATTTCCATACCTACAACGATTTTTTCATTCTTTGTTTGTATATTTATTAAAATCGAAATCGTAAAATCAAAAATGTTTTCTAATATGAGATAGGTGTTTTTGCAACCTGTAATATAAAAATTTATATGAGAGATAGCTAACAACTACCACAATTCGTTTTGAATACTTCCAATCTCAGTATTATAGAAATCATAGTATATATGCAAGTTTCCCAATTGAAATATGCAAATTGCTTTCAACACTTCGAACACTTGAAAACTTTTCAATTTTTAATTACCATTCTACATAGTGCCAAAAAGCCCAATAGAGGATGGAAATTCTTTTAGGTTTGAAAGCTAAAATATTTATTGTTTGTAATCACTCTATTGGCACATTTTAAATAATATTGTTGTTGGTTGGAATTTCTAATACCACTTATTTCGGATACTTGAACGCAGCTACACGTATATATATATATATATATATATATATATATATATATATATATATATTCATATTCGTATTGTATATATGCGTTTTAGCATTTATTGATGAGAATTCTCTCATATACATATTTATATGTTTACATGTGTATGAATACTCTCGCATATGGCGAGTAGCTGTGTGTTTATGATAGGCGCTTGCAGAATCGGCATTAAATGCTGATTACTCATACGCCCCGTGCAACAATCTGTCGTTTGTTGACCTGTAATTCCTTTGGAAATGCGCCAAATAAACTAAGCGTAAATCGTAAATACATATGTATATATTTGCATTTAAGAAATTCAAAATACCTACAAATCATGTTAAAGGTGTGTATATTGTTTGTAGATACAGATGTATTCACTGCCATGGCCCAGAAAGCTGCGTTTGTTTGTATTTAAAGATAAACTTGAATGATAGTTAGAGAACCTAAAGAATGGGTAAAAATTGGTTTCTTTAAAAAACGCCAGAAATCCAGTACGAATTGAGCGATTGAAAAATTTTTTTAAACGTATGTTATGTAGAATAAAATCAATTTTTCTTGTTGTCATATTTGCCGAATGACTTAAGTGATGACCCTCAAATTGGATAGTTGTAATTTAACATACGTATATGAACCGATCTCTTACTAGCATGATCCTGATGAATAGTCGAGTAGTTGCATTTAAACGCCAAAGTATAAGAGTCGAACATGTTTAATAATCGATTATGTCTAAATAAAAGTATTTGGCATACATTTCCTTCTAATTTTTATGTATACACATTCATACTAACGGCGGAATCAAGCCCCTTTTTATCATCATTTATGGTTCTTATCAAATATATACAGACCAGCAAACGCTTGTCTAGACGAATAATATTGTCATCGAAATTTTCTAAGGCTTTGAACAATTGTGTTGTGATGTGCTGGATTATTACTGAGTTCATATCAGAGACCACTTTTGTTAATAATAATACTCCTTGCTAAGAAAATTCCATATTTGAAATGAACTAATGCCAACGTAAAATATTCTTATATTCCTATTTCGGTGCAGGTGGTACACCTCTGCGTATAAGTACTTTACTTGTGCTCAACCTTTATAAAACTTCCTACCCAGCGACCATTATGAATGAAGATGGCACTGGTTTACGGAAAATCTATGATGTACAAGCTGCACGTTTTATTTGAACAAGAAGAGAATCCTTTGCAGACGACCCAAGGCCGACAGGAGCTATCCAAGAAATTTCAAAATGTCCTTGACTAAAGCAGAAAAAACTCGCAGGAATGGTTGAAATATCCGATAAAACCATTTTTAAGATCCTACACAATCATCTTAGCATGACTAAGATTAGCGCAAGAAACTACAGTTTTGGCGTATTTTGAAGATAAATGAAAAGCATTTCTTATGGGATTATAAATAGGTTAATTGAAATATCTAACGAACTTATGAAAAATAGTTTGGTTTTTTATTTCCATCTCCATCCTCCATTCCGCGAACATAAAACCGCTCTCTTCGTGCCATAGTTATTATACCATTTCAGGTTGCACATAAAATATCAGAATAAAAATGCTTTAGCCGCGATTCGTTAAAAATTAAGTTTACCAGGTGCTGACATACATACATATGTACATATATGAATACTGTTCGCCCACGTCCTTTTTCCAAATTAATCCATTCTTTTGCGCATTCCAAAAAATACACAAGTGATACTAATAACTGGGGGATTGAGTATACAATGAAACTGGGGGCCACAAAGAAGCAAGAAATTTTATCATAAATCGGAATACTAAGCAATCAAATCTGCAATTGGTTTTCCATTGAATGAACTTTTGTGGTTAATGTTAAACGATGAATTTACGTTTACAGCTAAATGTAGATGCTGATTAATAACAACAACAGCGGAACAGGTAATATTTACCTATCTATGTGTGGAAGTGAATACGGCAGTGTGAGATGCTAAGCGGAAATCGAAAGCGGCCGGATACACTGGAATTAGAGGTCCTCGGGGCACGCCAAGCAGAGTCTTCCGACAATGAGGACTACGCTCTCACAGCGCACGTTCTACCACAGAAAGCTCACCATAAGAACGCAAAGCATCAACATCAGAAATCGACATCCAAACCGCAAACGGCCAAAGCGGCCAAAACGCAATGCATATCCGATGGGGATGGCACTGAAAAGTCATCCAGCACGCAGCATCTAACAAGCTGCACACGCTCTTTCACGTCGGAAAGCCCGCAGCGTCACAGGTGGTTTCATTTACGTCGCAAACCACGCGATGTACCAGCTGAAGCCGCTCTGCTCGCGCAGCAAAATGCTGGCGATATCAGCATCACAAATACTGCCCCTACAACGCTAGCCAAGCCCGAAATAACGGGTATCGTCAACACGACCACCACAAACAGTACAACGCTGCACACAAGTCTGACAATACCCGATGTTGCAGCTGTGCTTACGCGACACGACTCTCAAAAACGTCGCAGTCGCACACAAACCGATAGTCTTTATAGTTTAGCAACACTGGCACAATCGAGTGAAATACGCGTGCAGCAACGTTTCGAATCTACAGTGCCTGGCGCGTTGGTAAATAAAGCAAATGCTACAGAAAAAGAGGCGACAACGCTCTATACAAATGAGAACAGCGAGGCTATAGCACATACTACTAAGGAATTTCGGGAGCATCATAGCGCTGTGCGCGAGCATATGCTACTCACAAATGAGTTGGCGTCAGCGGAGGATGTCGCAGACGGCGCTGTACCACCATCGGCCCCTGGGTTTCAAGCAAAACTATTAACCGTTCTAGGGTATTTGCCCGGCTGGAAGAAAAAGGCATGCACTAGCCGCCGCTCGCGCGCTAAACACCCGGCAGGTGTCGCGATAGGGAGTGTCAGTACCAATGACGGATCGCTGGATGGTAACGGTGGTGGGGAGAGTATAAGCGGACATAAAAGTCTAAATGCAAGCGCTGACTTCGAACATTTTTCGTCCACGACAGGTGTTAATGGCGCTGACAGGGGTGTACGTAGGTTGTCACAAATGCGACGACGACGCAGCTCATACTACTTCTCTGGTAAAGAATTTTACTTTAACTGCATATCTGTAGATTTGTTTTAGTTTTTAAAGCTATTTAATAGAACATTAGCTCTGGCGAGAAATAAATTTAATCAATATGCAGTCTTCCGAGCTTATCACCTTTGATTTGGCAGCTCCTTTAAAGATTTAAATTGTTTGTTTCATTGTGAATGATGCTTTCAGTCAACTACTGTGAATGTCGTAATCAATTTATAAAGGATGTTTTTTTAGACGTGTGGCTTTTCAATGAAGCAATCCTTTTCTCGGGGTGGATAATAACCCACAAGCCATTGTTGAGACGACGTTACATCTTCAAAAAGTCACTGTTTAGTGCGCTCTATGTGTATAAGGCGGCCATAGTTTTACAGCCATGTAGGGAACGCTATATTTTCGGTCAAAACCATTTGGAAGGTGATGTCATTATGCCTCTCTCTTAGAAACCATTGCGCCTATTGGCAAAAAATTGGAACAATCGATTTTCACAGGTAACTCTTGAAATTAATTCTCCACCTGCAAAATCATTCGCCGGATATAATGTGGACGCACAAGAACTTAAGATGTGGGTGGTCTGGCGTTGACCTGCTTCTGGACGATTGTCGTTTGGGAATAGCTCATAGTGAATGCTTCCGTGACAATGCCTTCAATGACACAGAAAAAAACCTTTCTGGACATCAATTCTGCCTTGGAGACCGGTCAGTCCGTTCGTGTGATATTGCTGTAAATATATAATTGTATATACATATTTGTACGGCGATCGCATGTCATCAGTCTCGGCATTTCCATTGTTTCATCAACATTTTCGACAATTAGCTTTTCGACCGTCTTCTTTATCTTTTTCATCAGAATAACCGGATTAAAATAGTCGAAACCAAAATTGTGCATGATTGACTGTTACAATGTCAACACCCTAACAATATTTACATTTACAGCAGTTTGACTTGAACTCTCGTCTACGTTGAAGAAAAATTGTAGAACATAGCTTACTTTCTCCTTGCTGATGTCCGTCTTTGGCATGCGCTCAAACACTACTGAGTTAAGTGATCAAACACTCCTATCGTGATATTTTTTAGTCAAAATATCTTCTTTCTAAGCCATTTAGCGTAATATAGAACGAAAGGCACAGGTCACTAAGGTAATCTATTGCAAAATTTAAAAATGGCTTTTTACTTGACCTATTATACATCAATCGGCTTTTGTAACCCCTGAAAGTTCTCGGAAGGTTTGACATTCCCTGCCGAGGGGCGACCGCAATTGGAAAAATTTATATATTATTGCATGGAGCTCTCGGCTGGAATTTGTTTGAGCCGGGCGCGGCGGTCACATGGCCGAAATAATTTTTAAAACATAATGACAAGGCCTGATCTTCATAATAAAGATAAATTCTAAAAAAAGCATCCTTTGTTATTTTGTTTTTAAACTAAGTTTTTATTTATCTCAAGACCTTTGTCAGAGGTGAATCCCTTCAGAGGGGTGCCGCTAAATTATTTATTTATATAAAACTTATTATTATTATTGAACTATGAAATTTTTGTAACTTTCTATTTCATAAAAATACATACCTGAAATAGGTACTGTTAAAGTTTGCAAATTAAAACTCTACAATAAGAAAAGTACATATCAAAATGGGATCCCAGTTGACGTTGAAAGAAAGAGTTCGAAATGTCATTAGTTATATTTTACGTACAATTGGTATTATTTCACAAATTTCCAAAAAAAAATTATGAAAAATAAATGTCTAACAAACTCTTTTTCACTTACTTGCAGAGAATGAACGCAGAATTCGAGCCAATGATCGAGAGTTTAATGCACAATTCAAATACGCCGTAAGTAGTACAAAATCCACGTGCTTGCATACATACAGACATATGTATATTTATACAAATTCATATTGATGTTGTTATGACTGTTTTTATAAATCTTTTCAATTAAGAAAACTTAAAGTCGCCTGAATGCAGGTCTAGCAAACCTCATAGTTTTATATAATATATGTTAATCTGAGCATATTTACATATATGCATACACATTGTAATCATTTGTACTCACATATGTGTATATGCGAGTATGTATTTGTATGTTTGTAGAAGGGCGATATGTAAACACTTCCATTGATCGATGGAAACGTAAAAGAGTCGGGTTAGAAGAAATTTCTGTTTGCATTGCCGGAATTACAGTTAAAGTAGATACGAGCCATAAGCAGTTAATTCACAATCATTCACGTGGAAACCTATTTACATACACGTACATATATACAGTCACTTAAAAAAACGATAACGCTTTGAGTTGTAAGTAACTTATTATCATTCTCTTCCTACTGCAGAACAAATTAGCTCTGCATTTTTCTTTTCTACCGTCCAAACGCGACTCTGCCTCAGCTGTAAACTTGACCAATTCTGTGAGAAGAGCTCGAAGAGTAAAGCCATGTTGCTGATACTGATACTGTCATAAATACACTCGGAGGGGTTGACATTCCCTACCGACGGGCGACCGCAGTTAGAAAATTCAACTTAATTTTTTATTTAATAGTAGTGATTTTCTATAATTTTTGGATGTTGGTCAGAGCAGGATTTGAAATATTATATTACTACAATATTTTTTGTGTTTGTTGTAAAATCACATATGTACATCCATACATATATAACATTTTATTTGTTTCCTATTTTTTTCACAACGAGAAAAGCTTGGTAATCAATTTATATAAAAAAAAATTAACTTTGCTAAAATTCTAAGTACGAAGCCTTAACGTGGTCTGCTTGTGCGAGTATGTGTGTGTTTAAATGAATATTAAACTTGACTCCTGCTTGTGAGGCGGGAAATGGCGGCCATCTATTTTTATGCATGTATCAACCTTTGTGCTAGTAATAAATAGTACTCCACAAATAATGCAAATACGTATCGAAAAAGTATTTTAGTAAAACTATTGTATTTGTAATGCCATCACATTCCAATTGAAAGAGTCATCCAATCATTCTTTCTGGCCAAGCGCAGCACAACTCATAATTATATTTGTAATCGCACATACATACACACATCATATTTATATTTATATACATGTATATTTACTTGTTAAGCTACAAAATGCATTCATACAACGTATATATGTATGTACTGACATACTATATACCTACATACATACATACTCGTATATTGGCTATCCATTGATCTTTGCGACCGATGACGTTCAAGGGTAGTAATTTGTTGGACTGATTGGCGCTTTGGCATTGAAGAAAGCCTCATAGACATATATCCATACAGACATACATATATACATAGTCATACGTATGACAACAGTCCTACGCATACCCAATACATGCCCGATTGTACGTAAATACATTTGTATGTACAATACATATGCACGAGTACAATGCAAATAAGCGTAGTCAGTAAGCTAGACACAAAAACATTTCACGCGAGAAATATAATAAATGTAAATAAAAGGTGAACGATAATGCAAAAACTGTAACAAAACGTGTTTACCAAGCCAAAACGTATGCGGAGATTACTTATTAGCGAAAATTTGTTAGTTTCTCTTGTGAGTAAATAACAGTCGGTTTTTTTTATTCAATATTGACTTAGAACAATTAATTAATTAAAAGTCCGCACCTTTTTTTTGCAGCTTAAATTAGCCCTCAGAACCATGATTTGGACTGCGGAGCTCCTAGGTAGGTTGTGACTTATCGACAATCTACCAACTATCGGCTGCAATCCTTTTTAGAACGCGTGAGTGTGCTTTTACACATGATTTTTGCTATCCTGCATGGCGTAAGGCATTCCGTCTAACCCTAATCCGTCTGAAAGGTGCTTCGGAAGTTTGATTGTGCAACGTTTTTGGTTCGAAAGCCGGACTGATGGCACTTTGGCAATGTAGCTCCCCAGAATTGTCTTTTGGCCTGGAAGCCCGTATATTTGCAATTTCTTTTTGGCAGCCGCCACATCTACAACCTCACTGCTTCTAAGGATATTCTCTGACACATAAGGATGTGGGGTTATTGCTTTAATTGCTGCTTGGTTATCCACGTATATATTGATATTTTTTTTGTGGTTTCCTGATTTGTTAACTATCTCAACAGCTTTTCTAACCATGAAGACTTCCGCCTGGAAGATACTTCAAGCACACTCGGTCATTCTTGTACCGTCCTTGTACATAGATGTGACTTGAAACTTTCTTTTCCAAATAAAGCGTGCGGGTATGTGGTCTGTTTTAGTTAAAAAAAAAAAACGCCAAGCATCTCTCTACAATTATGGGCCCATTGAGGCACTTAGGATAATGAAGCCACTGGCTTGTCTCATACAGGCAAACAATTTTAAAGATTTCAGTTCAATGTCATTCAGTTTTATTTTTGATAGTTTTATTGAAAATTTTGATATTCTCTGGGAAATGTTAGGTACTTATATCAGACGCAGTTCGCCAGCCCTCTTTCGCTTTTGGTTAAAAAAAAATAATTTTAAGGATGTCCTTTTGTGACTTAATGTTCCTTTAAATAATTATGTGCATATGATTTCTGTAATTCATCTACATATTTGTTCAGACCATAATCATGTATCTGCCTACATACGTTCGTATGTATTGGGTGTCCCCGAAAGAAACTGGCGATTTCATACAGTATTTTCCATACAAATGGCATTGCCAATTTTTTTGCACAGCTTATGACTGTTTCATTGTATTTTTTCTTTTGACAGTTACAGTTACAGACGGTCATTTTTAGTTTGTTTTAGGAAAAAAGTACACGGAACATTTTCGCCATATTTAACTTAATTATTTCCTTAAAGGAAAAAATGCAGGGAAGCCTGCTAAAAAGTTGCATAATTTGTATGGTGATAAGTCCCGAAACACAGTGTCGAAGTTGGTTTGTCAAATTTCGTTCGGAAGATTTTTCCCTCAAGGATAAGCCACGTTCAGGTCGGCCAAGTGAAGTTGATGATGACGATATCAAGGCTCTTGTCGAATCGGATCGTCATGTAACTGAGCGTGAGATTACAGAGAAGTTGATTATACAAAAAAGAACCGTTCATAATCATATACGATGTCTTGAACTGGTAAATAAAGTTGATATTTGGGTACCACATGAATTGAAAGAAATTCATTTAACAAGCCGCTTCAACGCTTGTGATATGCATCTGTTTTTGAACCAAATCTTAACTGGGGATGAAAAATGGATTATTTACAACAATATTAGTAGAAAACGATCATGATCCAAGCATGATGAAACGCCACAAACCACTTCAAAGGCTGATATTCACCACGAGAAGATTATGCTGTAAGTTTGGTGGAATCGAAAGGGTGGGGTTTACTTTGAGCTGCTCTCAAGGAACCATACGATTAATTCGAAACAACTGAACAAATTGTTTACATCCATCAAAGAGAAATGGCCAATTGGTATCGTAAAGGTGTCGTATTCCACCAGGATAATGCTAGACCGCACACATCTTTGGCCGCTCGACAAAAACTGATAGAGCTTGACTGGGAACTATTGATGCATCCACCATATAGCCCTGCCCAAGCACCGCCTGACTACCATTTTTTCAATCTTTTCATAACTCATTAAATGGTAAAACTTTCGAAAAAGACGAGGCTATAAGATCGTACTTGGTTCAGCTTTTGTAGATAAAGGACAGAAGTTCTATGAGCGTGGAATAATAATGTTTCCGGAAAAATGGCGAAAGGTCGTCCAACAAAATGGAAGTTACATAATTGCTTAAAGTTCTTTATAAAATTTAGAAAATACATTTTTTTCTTTTAAAAAATCGCCGGTATCTTTTAGGGCAATCCAATATTTAGAGCGCATAAGTATATGCATATTAATATGCCAGAGTAGAAATATGTAATCAAAAACCTTTGAAATCAATTGGTGAGGGTAAAAGTTGGTCTTTGTGTCATGTAAATAACAAATTTAACGACCATTCGCACTGTTTATATCTACGTTTACAAACGTAGATGTACATATGTACAATATATTGTACATGGCATGTATTTTTTTTATATTTTTTTTTGGCAGTTGAAACCATTATACTGAAAAAAATATAAAAGACCAGTATATTTGTGTATGAACATTAGGGTGAACCAAAAAAAAATTAACCTTTCGCATTTATGAGAAAACAATGTCCTTGCCAGCCACAATGCTTTGCTCAATTTTAAAATCATTCAAAGTTTCCGACATAAATAACACCTTTCAAAGTTGAGTAAATAACATTGGCTTGCAGGGACATCGCTTTATCAGTAAAAAGGTCCAATTTAATCCATATATGCGGTAAGTTGGATTTTGACTCACTCTAATATACTTACATGCATAAGTACATACTCGTATGAGTGACTTTATTACGCATATACACATCGGTTTTCTAGGTCAATGGCTTCAGTATTTTTTTAGCTTACACGTAGTTAGCGTGCTGCCAGATTTTGCGGTGTAAAATTTCGTATTGGAAAAGTATATGAGTTATTTTAAATTAACAAAAAAATATTTATTTGTATTTACAATGAAAATACAGATAAGACTTTTTGTGAGAAAAAATTTTAATTGCTCTAAATGTCTTTTAAAAATCTGCAAAAAAAAAACTTTGTCAATAATCTTGTTTTAAGTCTTTTTTTAATATTTATTAACTCCACGTATACCGATTTATTCAGACAAAACCTCATTTTTTGCTAAACTATTGTACTCGTATCTTCATTTTTATAAGAAAATAAAAAAAAATTAATTTATGTTTGTACCTTCTTTATCTTCCATCACCTCAAGGATAATTTCATCAAAACGTCCAAATATACACTGCTGACATTTTTGCCATTTAATCTGCTCGAGCAATTTCAACGTCTTGCCAATTTCTATTTCCTGTGCTTATTGGTGCTACAACTCATACCAGCGATATCATCGTTAACACCCGTCACCACAGCCATACCGTTAATCGGCGTCTTAACATTGACAGCGGTTAAGGATGCCTATGACGACATAGTAAGTAGCTTAAACAAATGTGTGGCCTTTAATCACTTTATGTTATGTGTGTGTAATTTATGTGCTTCAATTAACTTTTATCTCATTTCTTGCCCCTTCAGCCATTCGTTGAAATTAACTACATGCTTTGCAGTTAACCGTACTTGCGTTAAATATATCAATTTTAATTATAAATAATTTGCACTATTAATTTTCATTAAGTTGCTTTTGATTTAGTTTTATAGCTTTTTAATGCTTTAGAATTTCTAATAGAAAAATATCCACAAGTATGATTCGTAGCTAAATAACAAATTCTAAATGATTTTAAGTTTTCGATTTCTCCAAAAAATTCTAATTACCCTCATAAATTAAGCTCGGGTAACTTATTCCATACACCTTCAATATCTTCTGACGATGTCTTTTAAAAATGCATATGATTGTGATACGGTTCAAATGTCTTCTTGTTTTCCTATATACACATATTTACCAACCTTTGACATATTTATTTAATTTATCGCTCAAAAAATGAATTTTTCCTCATATATGGGGATATTTTATTATGCCATTCATAAAAATGGTTAGAGAACTTTGGCACAAAATTATCGAGATATATACAAATTCATTTTACTCATTCGATCTCTTCTATTACATCGGCCTGCCAACTTGACTAATTTGCTTGAGTTCGATTCTTATACGTGTACCAACAATGCGTTCAGAGAAAACACTTGGCTTTTGACAATGAAAGCCATATGTCGCTAGACTCATTGGGATTTCAACTAAACTTTTGGCAGTGGGTCCCTTCACAGCTTGTTGAACGATCTCAAAGAGTAGTGCTTATTAATTCCTGTTAAGATTACTTCAGGAGTACTCCAGTGTAAAATGGTAGTCAAAGGTGGTCAAAGAACCTTATGTTGCCATTGAATAGAATCTATTACAAAAAAATGTCTGCTTTTTGCACTGGGACTCTCAGAATTTTCTCTTATTTTTTTTTCGAAATATAGCAATGGAAAATTTAATATGAGAGTTCAATTGGAAATATTTACTTGTGCATGTACGAGTTTAGGTTTTTATAAAGAGTTTTTCAATCTATCGAAATATAAGACGTTTATATCATATTTTCTTATCAATTTTTAATTTACTTCTCGTTGTGCGTGAACCTTGACCTTTATGACGTCCGTTTATTTCACTTTGCAGCAACGCCATCTGTCGGATTCTCAGGTGAATAATAGACGATCAAAAACATTGAGGAATGGGCAATTAGTCGATGCAAAATGGTCAGGAGTGCAAGTAAGTTACAAAGAAATACATATGTATATATATGTTTGTATATTTCAAATAGGAAAATTTATAGTATTCCCAAACGTCTTACACGTTTATTACTCGTATGTACAGTAAATAAGTTAAAATGTTGACAGAATGAAAATTTTAAAGCTAAATGCTTTTTTTTCCTTTTTTCCTCAAAATTCAGGTTGGCGATGTGATACGTTTGGAGAACAATCAATTTGTAGCCGCCGACATTCTTCTGCTGACAACATCCGAACCGAATGGCTTGTGTTTCATCGAAACAGCCGAATTGGATGGAGAAACGAATTTAAAATGCAAGCAATGCTTGCCAGAGATCACCGAGTTGGGTCAGCGCCATGATCTACTGTGGAATTTCAATGGCGAGATAATTTGCGAGCGGCCAAATAACTTACTAAACAAGTTCGAGGGCACACTCATTTGGCGAAATCAGAGATACGCGCTCGACAATGAGAAAATCCTACTAAGAGGCTGTGTATTACGCAACACACAATGGTGCTATGGAGTTGTTATATTTGCGGGCAAAGACACGAAACTCATGCAGAACTCAGGCAAAACACAATTCAAAAGTACCGGCGTTGATAGACTGTTAAATTTTATTATAATTGGGGTTAGTAAGAGAATGCATATGTAAATACATTTGTATATATGTATGTTTGTATGTATGTTTGTTTACTTGTAAAGAATTTTGAATTTGATAATCATTTAATGTGCGCTAATATTTATGTTTTAACAACAAAATTTATTGTTTTCATTTATTTCGTTCATTTTCAGATCGTACTTTTTCTACTTTCAATATGTGCGTTCTTCACGCTGGCCTGCGCCATTTGGGAAAGTTTTATTGGACAGCATTTTCAGGTAAAAAAAAACAACCGATAATTGTATTCTGTATTGGTACCCAGTGCTAGCCGAGTGGTTAGCATTGCGTACTGCCATTCGGAAGGCCAGTGACAGAACATTAATTTCAATCAAAAAGTTAGGTTAAATTTTCTAATAGCGGTCGCCCCTCGGCAGGGATGTCAAACCCTCCGAGTGTATCTCTGACATGAAATAAAAGCTTTTCATAAACTGGTGGTACCTCAATTTGTTGGGAAAACATCCTGGCGTAAGAGGATTTCGGCCGAAAACCGCTTCCGCGATAAATATTGATACTCAGCGTTTTTATAACGACCTATGTGATTTCATTTTCTACTTGTGAAACGCATCTTTTAACCCTTGTAGCGCACACTACAATTAAAAATTTATAAATATTTTACTAGCGTAGCGAACTCAATCTGTCAATGGCGACTCGGCGAAGTCTAGGAGCCTCAAACCATTGGGTATGTTTCGTCATATAGACAGTTTTGCCGGAGATACCTTCTATGTTCACCCTGACAACACCAAGTCAACAAAGCACAATTTTCACATCGTAACGGGACATTGCATATAAGGTCATATCGTCTCTCTCTTTCGCCGAGCCATGTCTCTCCTACCAATAAGCCGACACCAAGTTTACACTCTTTTATATGGTCGCTATTGTAAATGTCACAAGCACCTACTCATCTTCATTCTTTTCCTTCCCATCGCACATCAACCAGCTGAACAAAGATAACTTACGCATCGTAGTCTTTAATACATTGGCAGTGGCCGTAATCAAGAGTAGGGTATCTCACCCCAGGTGTTGTACAACTTTTCATTGGAACTGGGTTCACATTTATATAGCGACCCACTTCTTTCAAAACTGACGCCCCTCTAATTAACAGACGCTGTAAACTTCAAAACTTCAGTGAACTCTTAGGGCGAATAAGTCAGAGTGGCTCCACTGATGCTTCCTCTATTTTGGCACTGACCCTAAGCTTAACTAATCATCATTACACCCCCAAATTCAAATTTATTTTTGTAGCACCGTCATGCAGATTTTTTCCTTTTCCTGCCGCTAATGTAAAAGTTTTTGTAATATTTAATTTTTTTTTACAGGTGTACTTACCATGGGAGAATATCATACCAAAAAATGTTGCACAAGGCTCTACCGTTATCGGTTTGTTGGTTTTCTTTTCCTATGCCATCGTCTTAAATACTGTTGTGCCAATATCTCTCTACGTTTCAGTAGAGGTGAGTTCATCAATTTCTACTTCCACTAAGCTCTAATGAATTGGAATTGTACTTTTTCCTCACCCTGGGTTGTAGGTTATACGTTTCGCCCAATCATTTCTTATCAATTGGGATGAGGAAATGTACTACGAACAATCAAAAACTCATGCCAAAGCACGTACCACCACGCTCAACGAGGAGTTGGGACAAATACAATATATATTTTCGGATAAAACCGGTACACTAACACAAAATATAATGACATTCAACAAATGCAGTATTAACGGACGTACATACGGCGACGTATTCGACCTGCGTACGGGTGAAGTTATCGAGGTTACAGATGTAAGTTATTTTCTTTTGAATTGCTTTTTACATTTTACTGTTAATTACTGCAAAAATAGTTCCTTACCAAACTGCAGAAAAACACTAACTTCTTCAGATTGGGTTCTTACGCGGAGCTTGAAAATGCAGGCGCTATTTAATTACGCATACTAAAACACTTCTTTAACACTTAAAGCTGTCAGAGCTTTTTCAAAAGTTTTCGGGTCTTTTAAGTTTAATTTCAAAGCTATATTCCCGAGTAACAAATTAATTGCATGCGGTTGAAAGCAACGAACAAAACTTAAACACAAAGCATTTTTCTAAAATTCCATCTGTGAACATTTTAATTTTAGAACTTTTTATATAAAAGTATTTATTTTTGATGTGTAAACATGTGTACTTTTGGAATTTAACAGTAAAGGGGAAATTACCCGCTATTAAATTCTAATTGTAATATTTTTCTTTTTTTCATAATTTCGTTTCTTTCCTGTGTAGCCTTAAAATATAAATAGAATTAACGAAGATAATTTAAGTAGCCACTATGCTTAGCGTACAAACATTCGAAGGTCAGGGTTAGAGTCCTGGACCATTAACCTACAAAGTTGTAGAAAATAAATTTTTTCTAATTGCGGTTACCCGTCGACGGGGAATGTCAAACCTGCAAGTGGATTTCTGGCTCATTAAAATCCATCAGCCGTTCAGAGGTGGCTTTGTATAAACTGTAGCTATCTCCAATTGTGGGAAAATGAAATTGGAGGAGGTGTTAGTTAAAAGTCTGCAATTTATGAAAATTAATCGCTTAACAACCGCACAACGCATTAGAATTGTTAACACCTCACCCACTTCGAAAATAGTAATTCACAAGGTGTCACGTTTCATGCTTTAAGAGAAGATTATGGTGCACATAATTGTCCCACTAATTAAGCAATTGGCGAAATTTTAAAGAAATTTTGAAGAGAAGGATCGGTTACAGATATTGTAAGCCCTGTAAATCATCGTTTTGCCCGTTCTACCTCAAATCAAAAGTAGCGTATAGTGTAAAAGAAAATATAGCCGAGATTTCCCGACGTTCTCAAGTGCTGCGGCTTTCTTATGACAATATTTTAAAGTCTACATATGATAATATAACAAAATGCGATTTGCCACCGTTGGACTTTTATTCTTGGACTACGCCTAAGACTGTGATTTTGAGATAAACCTTTAACTCTAGAGCACTTGAAAACCAACATTCAGCAAGTTATGGCTGACATGCTACCCAATATATTTTTAATTAGGAGCCGCAAAATGGATAACCTCTAATTTGTCGGACTCATTTCAAATATTTAGAGAATATTTTTATAATATCATACTTTGAGAGAGTGAAAAAATCGAAATTCAATGCTTAGAACATTTGATTGTCCCCAACTCGATGAGGTCATAAATTAAATGACGTATTTTTAAATATATATACAAGTTTGAGAATATTTTAGTATTAACTCGTTTCGAGAGAAACTTACTGAACTTTCTTCGAACGCGATTCAGTAAAAACTAGCCACCAAGTTGTATAAAAGCGCTTTATTTAGGCGGTAAAATTTGAATCCGTTCTTTTAAAAGTCTATTTTTTCTGCTTTTAAGTAAATTAAATTCTAAATATTTTAATAAGTTTGGCAATATAGAATTTTTATTTTACTAATTTCATTCAAAATATATAGTCCAACGATAAATATGCCAATATTTTTTTGCTAATAGTCCTCTATAGGAGTAGGAAGAGCGCTCTCTGGTACTCATTTTACTTTCTTTTCGGCTCACCGAACGCGATTCAGTAAATTCAGTAACAATCTTTACTGCCCATCAGGTCACCGAACAGAGCTATTATTATCCTAATTCTCAATTTATAAACACAAATGTTTACACATCAAAAAACTCGAATAATTGACACCAACTTATATAGCTTAATAGTAAAGCTTCAATTAATTATATTCAAAACTAGTTACATATGTATGTATGTATGTATATATATTTTCTTTTCAAAGCACTTTTGTAAATATTCCGCCTTATGCACAAGTATTCAGATAGAATATTCCAACTGAATTTATCGAATGTGTGTGAAAAAGAGTAGCTGAGTTAGTGTAGTTCCGCACGCAGTCAGACGCTTATGCACACACATGCACACACATACTCCGACATGAGTACCATTAAAAATGAGTTTTGAGGTGTGTGCATCTTTTTTCGACATTTTCACGCCACTGCCCCCTCCCCACCTCTCACAATTATGTACTACGTTTAGGTCTTTTTTATTATTGTTCGTTTATTTATGCATTTTTTGCATTCGTAATTAGTAAACGAAAATCCTTAAACCGTATTCCTCGTTGTAGAAGCAAAAATATGTACAGAATAGCAACTATAACTTGAGCAACAGTAGTAGTATCGGCAACAAAAGCACGACGGCACCAACAATTCTATTGCACACTGCCGAAGTGCATCCGAAAAGCACAATTATGGTCTCTAGTCCCGAGGATGGTGGTGCCGCCGATATTTCCATAGCACCTTTAAACATAACAACGGCAACGGCAACAGCAATGGCAACAACTAAAGAAACTACTATGCCCATTAAAGGTGTGGTAGGTGGGCAGGCAGCGGCGGCAGTGACGATGAAAGCCCTGCATGAGTTCACACCTTCACCAACCAGCAATATACGACGCGTGCAGTACGATGAAAATTCCATTGGTCACACAGACAAGTCGGAAACGACGTCGGCTCAGCAAGCAACTTGGCGGCAACGCTCAACATCTCAGTCACCAACACGTCAAATGCGACGCCAGTTGTCGACGCTGTCCAATACGAGTGATAAAGTAATAATAATCGCTGATACTGCAAACCCACCGCACAAGGCACTAATGGTGTCTTACAGCAACAATAACACCAACACCACTTGCACACCCATCATCACCCGTACCGATATCACAAGCACCAGTAAATCACCAGCAATGGTCGGTGCACCACTCATGCCATCATTGTCAGACGAGAATACGCCAATAACAACAAAAACTGTACACAGTTCATTAACATCACTAACGCCGTCTCTGACACCTCCACCCTCACATTCACCATTATCGTCAACCACATCATCATCACCTCCACCATTCATATCATCATCATCATCATCATCTCTAACACAAATCACGAGAACAGTACGCTCAGAATCATTATCGCAAACACCATCGCTAATGAGTGAACAACAACTAGAACAAGAACAGCAGCAGCAGCACCTGCAGTTGGCACCTGCTAGCAGCGCAACAAGCAGCACACAAAAGTCAAAAATTAAAATAAAAATAAACAAGAAAACAAAAACAAAAATTGGCAAAACAGAAATGCCTTGTTGCGGGTGCGACTGCCAACAGACAACTCAGGCGGCGCAGGACGCGAAGTGCAGCGCAAAACCGAAATTGAAATCGAACTTGAAATCACAATCCAAGAGAATGCTAAAGAAAACATGTGCCAATTGTACAAAATGCCCTCACCAAAACCAACAGACTCACACCAAAAATGTCACCATTAATTGCAATACTCACAATCACAGCACTAGCAACAGTAATAGCAAATTTAAAGACAACAACAAATGCAAAAACAACCCCAAAAATAACACCAGAAACGACGAGAGCACATGTAACAGCCTCTACGCCAAAACCGGCTGGAGTTCGTCGTCCCACCAGCAAGTGCACGTATGCATGCGATTTTCTACTTGCTTAACCATTAGTGTACGCTCGTTCGGGCAGCCGATACCCTTAGCTGCTTACCTAGTGTCGCCGATCTCCCTCGCTTAAATGCCTTGCGCACCCTATCTAATCACCTGTGTATGCTAGAATTATGATTTATATTTCCTCACTTTTTTGAACTGAGAAAAAAGTGCCTAATCAATTTTTAGTTACGCCATTTCTTTCATTTTGCATGTTATTCCCAAAGTTACTTATTCTGCAACCTTTCCTACAGAGCTTTCGGGTCGCTTCCATTAATGGATTACACCGGTCAAAACGATTTTTAGTCGGATTCCTACATGTTAAATTTTAGTTTCTCCTTCACTAAAACTAAAAGAAAGCGTGCCTTTGTACTCCTTCTTGGCAGTGCAGTAAGAGCCGAAGAATATATCGGTCCTTATCGAAGTAAATCAGACATAAGCAAACTTCACAGATTTTTTGTAAAATATAAGGGACGTTTCAGAATCATAAGATAAGATACCAGCTTCCTTTTGAATATTTTGGGCAAACATTTTTGGAGCCACCAACTTGAAGATATTTTTCGGAACTAAACCGTTTGTCAATTTCCATTGGATTGTTTCAAATGTTTTTTCATCGATTCAATCAATTTCTTCAAAATACGGACATCCGTAGAGCATTCAATAGTAATTGCAGCCTTTAGTCCATCTGTAATGTCATATTGACGATTACATGCGTAAGCCCTTAAAAAAAAGGTGCCTCACACGTTCTGTAATGGAAGGACTCTTTAAGACTCAAAAAAAAGGAACAATACTGTATCCCAACACTTTAATGCTGACTCTGCTGGGCATTTGAGATGATGTGAACTGTAACTGATGTAAAAGTCCTACATACCATTACAGGACCGCCACGGAAATCGCTTACAGGGGCTGGGCCAAAGCACTAAACAAACCGACGTTTCTGTTGCGGGTTGGCAAAATATCAAATGTCTCATTGGAAACCACACCTCTTTTCTTTGAATAAGGTTCCAGTGATTAGAAGGTTTTCTAAATTTTTCACCCAACAACCGATTACGTTTTAAGAAGACTATTAAGCAGTCTCATTACGTTTTACCGACCTTGAATGAGACTAATAAATTTCTCTAAATTAATTCTCGTTCAATATCGCCCTGGATCAACCTCTTTTTAAAAACAAATTTGAAATTATATTTATTGATTTTCTTCGAACTCTTAGCGCTGTGAGAAGGAGTTTAACGTGCAAAGGTTTTGCCATATATTTTTCTCTTTAAATGTCTTATTAAAACATAATTTAATTTATAAGGAATAATCAAATCTAAAAATTGCTCATTTACTAGCAGTTCAACATCTCGGGATCGGTTATTATAGAGTTTTGTATTTCTTATATTTGTATATTAAATAACTTTTAGCCTTTTTATATTTCTCCCGTGGTTTAACATCTTTACAAGCATATTTGTGGATTCTGGCAAATATTTGATTTATTCCGCAAATTCTTAGTTTATTAATTTTGTCTGGAAATCCTTGTCCAAATGCCAAAATTGCATGATCCCGCTTTCGTCGTTGCAAGCTAACTTGAACTAAAAATAGTCGCGATTTGGTGAAAAACATATTCGTATTTACTTATAAACATACTCATGCATGTCTACATATATGTTAATTAACAACTCTTTGTATTTAATGTTATTTTATTAATTATTATGCTGTACGTGATACAATAGTTTAAAGGTAGTTTCATTTTCTCTTCGCAGACGGCTTCGTAGCTATCTGACATTAAACGTGGTTCCCCTTTTGGTGGTTTCCTACGGCTGCTTTCATCACACTGTCCTCTGAAAATCTTCGTCCTATAACTCCTTTTTTAAATTTGCAAAAATGGAAAGGTTACTGGGAATCGGGTCCGGACTATAGGGTGTTTGGTGAATTTTTCTTCAGTCACGACCGTTACTGAGCGCCTCAGCGGCCGGACCCATTTTTTTTATTATCGTATATGAAGGGGCGGAGTTCTGAATAACAGAAGTCATCTCTTTAAAAATTTCTCTCCTTTTTTACAAGGTATTTAATCAAAACGCGGCGCTCGAAATAGTTAAACAAGTTGCTCGATCACGGATGATGATATCTACAAGGTGTGACAGTTAAGTAATGAGACTGATTCCATAAAAACCGTATATTTGAAAATTATTCTACAAGTCTGTCATCCCCTTCAAAGTAGTCCCTAGGGCAGCTACGACAACGCTTCGATTGAGATGTCCGCGAGTACCCTCGTCACGGCGGGGATGAAGGATCCAGTTACGAGCGATGTCTGGGCGCACTCTGTTGACTCGTACTTGGCGATAGTAGGCTTGATTTGCGGTTTGCCCCGGTGGAAAAAATTCCTTGTGGACGATTCTGCAGCTTTCACAAAAACAATAATCATCGTTTCCACCTTCGACTTGCTCAAGCGAGCTTTTTTCGGGCGGGAGGCGTGCAAAGACAAACATTATGAGCTTTGTCGTTTAGTTTCCGGGCGTTTCTGCCGCTGTTTCGCCCAATGTGTAAACACACGTTTACTCAACACGACACAGGGGGCGAACTAAACAAGCTAGACCAATGGCAAATATTATATATCAATGGCGAGGAGAAGGATGCCGGGAGAAGGGAAAGGGATTTTCAAGGTCGCAGGGTTATCCCAATTGCGGCAATATAATCAGTCTATTTACTTAATTGTCACACCTCGTATGCTGGTTCCGTGAAGAAAATTTCTGTCACCTTTCCGGGCGCTCAAACAAGTTCGTATATTTTTGGAAGTTCGGGAGACTAATGATGTCTAGTGATGTAAGCTCTGCTAAGCAATCGAATAAGAAATTTTCGAAAAATCGATAAGGGGCCGCACTGAGAGCATGGCAGTTGCAGGAAAGTTTTTTGAGCAACAGCTAATTTTTCACCCACAACACTTAGTCTCACTCTGTCAGTCTTTCTGGTCAAAGCTAGTCTTAACAAACACTTAGCCGAGGAAAGAGATATGCCTACTTCTGCGCAGAGTTTACCGTAAACTCATCGGCCCCGCAGTTCCCTGGGGTGTCCCTATGACTGGATAGAAAACCCACGGACGTTTCGCATATAGTCGAGAAAAGCTATAAATCTATGTTTCGAAAAAAATTAAAAATTGTTTACTTTTTCCATAACAAAAAGCATCTAGCAAATTCTTTTCTGACTTCAGATCTAAAAAAATGGCTGGAAACAAATGTTTTAATAAATCCATACATATATTCAATATTATAGCATCTGCTCAGGAGGCAACCCCAAAATAAGTAAAATATCTCCAAGATGAATATTTCATAAGTGACAAGATCAAACAATTATGAGCATTCGAAGTGAAACTACCTTATAGAAGTTGTTTATCATGATGCTATATACAAATAAATAAATACACTTTAAACGCTTTACTCATATACTCGTGCTCACATATACACATAAATACATAAAAGCATACAAGTGTATATATGTACATTCATTTACGATTATCTTCGAAAATAAATCAACAATTACTTACATAGACATAAATATCGTTTAAAGGCTTTGGAACCGGTGGACTTTTCGGCGAACCCCGAATTCGAACCGGACTTCCGCTGGTATGACAGAACGCTGCTGGATGCGGTACGGTCTGATGAGGAGCATGCGCAAAACTTCTTTCGTTTACTCGCCCTGTGTCACACAGTCATGCCCGAGTATGTGGAGGGACATCTGGAATATCAGGCTCAAAGTCCCGACGAAGCTGCATTGGTGTCGGCAGCACGAAATTTCGGTTTCGTTTTTCGTTCGCGCACGCCGAACAGTATAACGATAGAGGTGAAGGGCAATCGTGAGGTAAGAAAATGAATGCAATTTTGTTTTTACGTATTTTAATTCCTTTCTGATTTTTCATCTTTTCCCAAAAGGAGTATGAGCTTCTCAACATTATAGATTTTAATAATGTGCGCAAACGAATGTCGGTGATATTGCGACGCGGCGACGATATTTTCCTGTACTGTAAAGGTGCCGATAATGTGATTTACGATAGATTAAGTTCCAGTCAAAATGATATTAAGACGCGTACTCAGGACCATTTGAATGTAAGTTCTCGAAAAAAACCTATTTTATTGGACAAAAATTGCGGTTACCCGTAAACTATTCGAAAATTTTATTAATAAAAAACTTAAGCGGCTTCTTCCACTTCTTTACTGGCTTAGACACCACTTGTAGGATTATAGTCGAGTTAACAATAGTGCGCCATTCAATCCTTCATTTGGACATGTGGAAATACCAAGTGTAGCTATGTTATTCCCCACCTTCCTCTTCCCCTGACTGCACCCTCGGGTACTTTAGAGGTAAATTTCAAAACTGCGGTACTCGCAGCTGCCGATGCACAAAGAACCATAAATCCAAAACTCCTAACGTCGACTCATCAGACGGCATAGACTACGGACTTGTAGAGTTTGGTTTTGGTCCATTGAAAAATGACTTTACTCTCAACTTTGCTACTCAGTACAAAGTATCACCTGTAAGGAAAAGTGATTCTGAGTTAGATTTCAACGCTGAAATTGTTGTTGGTGTTAAAGCTTGTACCATATATGAAATTATTTACAACTTCGAAGTTATGACTGTCAACAGTGACGTGAGAGCCGTGTCGAGAACGCGATGAATGTTTGTTTGATAACAGGATACGTGTCGTGTTATCCTCGTTCACCAAGCTTCCAGTTTGGAGAAAGCTTCGACGTTCGTCAGCAGCTGTACCCTAGCAAGAATAGAATATTATACTTTCTTTATTCAGCTCTGCAGCTCATATACTTTGCTCAAGCAATGGCATAAAAACTCTCGATAAAGAGAGGTTCCTTATTGAGGAGGCTAATCACACGGTAATCAAGATAATTGGTGAAGACTGTGTGTTCCCCCTATTTTTTGAATTGGGCAGAGCACACTTTTTTCCTATCTACGGGCATGTTTTCATCTGTCCATATTCATCAAGGAAAATGATACTCGCACTTTCTCAATCCCTTGCCGCCGTAGTCCGGCCGTCAGCCAATCAGCTTCTCCACTTAGTCGTATTTCAGGCAAGCAGTCGGTATTTCAACGTCTTCATAGTCGGAAAATGACACCTATTTTCTATTCCAAGGACTTAAGCTTATAAGTATTACTGAGAAACATTACCTGGTGTAGTATTCTTAATTTTGCGCATACAGAAAAGCTCTACTTGTGCCTTACTTGTTTTGATATGTCTTTAGAGCAATAAATTATTTGGTTTTTAAATTGCAAAAAATCCCCAATAGAAATTCGCTGGCGAAGGTCTACGAACACTGGTACTCGCTGAACGTCATCTTGACGAAGCCTACTACATGGATTGGTCGCAGCGTCAACAAGTAGCGGCAGTTTCATTAGATGCACGCGAAGAGAAATTGAACGCCATGTATGAGGAGATCGAAACTGAACTGATACTCGTCGGAGTAACGGCAATTGAAGATAAATTACAGGACGGTGTACCCCAAACGATAGCCAATCTACAAATGGCGGGTTTGAAAATTTGGGTTTTAACTGGCGATAAGCAAGGTAAATAATTTTAGAAATTTAATTTAAAGAAAAAAAAAATAAAACTTTGTCCTACAGAAACCGCTATAAATATTGGCTACTCCTGTCAATTGCTAACCGACGAGCTGGCAGATGTATTCATTGTAGATGGCAGTTCGTTAGAGGAAGTGAATAAACAGTTGCGCGAATTCCGCGAATCGGTGCGAATTCTAAATCGATTTAGACCCACGCGTAAGTACTGAATAAATATGAACGAAGCAAATGAGTAATGAAAAACATATTCTCACAAATTTTGTTTTTGTATTTACAGCGCTGGAGCCAGCCGTAAATCTCAATATAAATGGCGGGAATAGTGCCGATCGAAATTCATCCTTCATGTATGGCTCAGGGTTGCGAACGCAGACCTCACCACCGCCAGCGCCAGCGATATCAGTGGTTACCTTTAGGTGGGATGATGACAAAATTAAGCATAATAAGGGCGAACCGGACAGGTAGAGGGAACTCCAAAACAAACGAAGCACATTTACACAAACCTACATACCTACATACATAGTACACTTTCTATTTCTCCGCTACTCTCTTTTTAACTAGTATTATTCCGATCTTGATTTTGATTTTAATTTTATTTTTAATTTTTTTTTTTTCAAGCAACATCTGTAATCGATGAACTCTATTTATAAATGTACTTTTATTAACTTTTCGCTACTGAAATCTCGTACTGAAATGCTTGATGACTTTATACTTTTATTTACTCTTATACATACGTAACTAATCGTTGTATTGTGCTAGATATTATTCGTAGCGAGCTCTACGCTAGAGCGCGTATATAAATAGTTTAAATTTACATAAGGGTCTAGAAATTGAAGAGAGTTGATCATCATTAAGTTCTGCACATGGCAAGTTAAGCTGTTTTCATTTCGAAAATTAAGCAAGTACACCATTCTCCCACCATGCGGAATCCGAAGCTGCACAAATACTTCTATGCAGTAGAGTTTTCTCTAGAATTAAACTTATTAGCCAATTCGTAAATCTCTCAATATCCAATGGATATGGAGCCACAAAAGTGTGGAGACGGAATATAAAAAGCTAATTCCAGGTACGAGTGTGTATATACTCGTAATATAATATTAATATCCCCCATACGCCCTTGCCTGTCAGATTGATACCAACGCGAGATTGAGCGACTTTTTCATACCTTTGGTACAAAGTATGCAAGCACCAGAAGGGGAAAAGGTAGATTCATCAAAATTCATACCGATATGATCGGAAGGACGAGTTGAGTTGATTTAGCCATGCTGTCTGTCCGTCTGTTCGTACATAAGCTAGAGATATTTAAAATTTGGTACACAGATGCACTGTTATGTTTAAAAAATCATTTGCCTGAACCGCCCAGATCGGACCATATATATATATATAATAAAATCTTAAATTGTCAAAACAGCATCCGAGCGTGAATTTTGGTGTTCTGCACACATCTGATGAACCAAAATTGGTACTAAAAATTATCGAAATCGGATGACTATACATAAAGCTCCAATACACCGATTCTTTCAGATATGAGATTTTTGGTGAAAACTCAGATAGAATGTTTTTGGTAAAAAAAAAACATCTGACAAAAATCATCAACAAGTGTAATATTTAGTATTATATACACATACGAGGCATGCTTTTTATATTTCGGGATTACTGTACTTTTGCCATTATAATTGAGGTATCTCCAAAATATCGAAAAACATTGACCTCCCAGTTTATTTTTTACGTACGGGAATAAAAAGAAGTCATTCAGTGCGATGTCAGGACTATTGCCTCATCTAATTGTTGTTTCGGGTGCTCATAAATGAGGATGTTGCAGTCGATGTGTTAGGCCACGCATTGTCGTGAGGAAGGGGAATCTGTCTACTGGGGTTGATTTTCTTCTTTTCTTAAAAAGCAACTGGCAAACAAAAAAAATCATTGTCCTTAAACACCCATTCAGTCGACTGCGTGGGATCTAGGAGGCACAAATATTTTTTATAGTCAAATTTTCCTGCAATATTGAATATACTCGTATGCCCGTCTCACTAAAGCCTGCAGTGCTCTCAATGTCATGATAGGTCGCATGACGAGCTTCATAAACAAAAATTTAATAAAGTTTATCGATGCTCTGCTGCGGAGATAATCCATGCCAAAAGTTCTAAAAAACAATCGCGCTAAAATTTTCTCGATTTAATTCCATTTCTTTACCGATATTTTAAGTGACTATAAACATTCCATTGCTGGAAAAACATCCAGACGCCAAACCTCATATTGGGGGAGGAGCTCGGCCGAAAATCGCTTCAGCTGAGTGTGTACTCTTATAACATCAAAAATGCCGGAATTTAGGCTAAAATTGTTAGTTGCCAGATTGCAACATTAGGTGAACCAAATTCCGAAATATAAAAGGCGACCCTCGCATTCACAAATAAATATTATCATAGAAAATTATCAAAATCGGAAAACTACATCAGGGAATCCGAAAATGAAATACCATAAGCTCGATATGCTCATGAAAGGTATGAAGACTTTGGTATGGCCGAAGACAGATCTTCTTTCTTGCTTGTTATAGACTTAATTTTCATGCCTTTGGAAGTATTACATTTATTTGCCTTTAAAGATCTTTTGAAAATATTTATTTATTAAGGAAAGCAATTTAGTAACGCACATTAAGTTTTTGTTTCTATTTTCCACCCAAAAAGAAAGAAATCCTAACCGAAATCAATACACAAAAATTCAATTATTCTAAAAACTTATACACTTAAAACGAAGCAATTAGTGACTAAACAAATTATCATATCAAGACAGTGCAATTCGAACATCATTTGATTATACATATATGTAGTACAAGGATGATCCCCTCTATTGGTACTTGTTCCGCCCGGAAAGTAAATATTTTTTATTCTACATTGAAAATGGTTTAACACGTTTAATAATATTCGTTTTATTAATCACGCATCGTTGTTCGTTCCAAAAATATGTATTGGTGTCAAACAAAATAAAAAGCACTCATTCAATGCAAATACGCTTACATACTTGTATATTTTTTTACGCTTACATACTTACTATGTAACTGTATGCAAATTCTGCATATGTGTGTTGAACAAATTTGTATATTGAAGATTATTTTGCATATTGATTTCATAACTTTCGACGCTCATTCATATGTACATACATACATATCATTATTGGAAAAGTAGAAAGTCAGTAAGTGGCGAAACCCCGTTTATCCGACTTGAACCGTTAATAATTTTTATTTTTAAATATTTCAAGATTACTTTACAGCTGTTAAGAATCTCATACTCTTTTTTTCAGCATGTTTTTTTTTTTGTCCACAAATAATACAGGTAACAGTTTTGTTATTAATTATTGTATACATTTCAATTAAGAGTTAAGTCCGGCCGAAAATAAAAATGCTTATAATACCCCGATTCAGACACCTTAGATTTGTTACTAAATCTGCAGAAACACTTTGAAGAAAACTGAAATTAAGTTCAAAAATAAATTTTGCCGGTTTCGAACGCCGGTTCGACCAACATCCAAAATTTATAGGAGGTTAATTTAAATAAAAAGTTAAATATTATAATTGCGGGCGCCCCTCAGCAGGAAATGTACACCGTGACATGAAATGAAGTCTTCTCATAAAACACCATCAGCCATCCGGAGGCGGCTTAGTATAAATTGTATGTCCCTAAATGTGTTGGAAAAACATCAAGGCTAACACCTCAAATGTAGCAGGACAGGCGGCAAGAAATTAAATTCCGAAAAAAAAATTTATTAATTAATTGCTTTATGTTGACCATATTATTATAGTTTTCAAGTCATACTTCAAAGCTTTGTTTTAGAATTAAATTACATTTTAAGCTTCAGCAAGTCATTTTCGAGTAATATTTAAATCGCGAATCGTTTTGCAATCACCATGAATACTCGATTTCTGTTAAAATGATCTTCCAAATGCTGATTTAAATATATGTACATATATCGGAAGCTCCCAAGTTCGGTCCTTTTTTCGTTTCAACAACGATATTTCTACTATTCATACATACATGTATACATACATACATACATACATACATATGTTGTTAGTGTCGCTTGTGTTGTTTTTGTTCCATTTTTAATAGTGTTTAGTAAAATCTATTTATAATATTAAGATTTACTCCTAATATTTCGCTTGTACGCATGTATAATACATATTTTTTACATCTACATTTGTACTTGTACTAATTTTACATCAGAATGCTGTTGATATCATAATAATTCAAAAGAAGTATAATCTTAATGAAATTGTTAAATGCTTTTATAAAATGTCATTCAAAGTGTTTTGCATTGTTTTGTAATTTAAATGTTTGTTGCTTCTGTTGTGACTGCTGCTAACACACATACATACCAGTCAGATGTCCTTCGTTTCACACTTACACTCATTAAGCACAGAAATTATGGCAAAAGCAAAGATAAATTTATATTTGAACTGATTTTTTTCTCAAAATTTTCCCTCAAGTTTGTCATAGTTTTTGACATACATCAACATGTCAGTGTAAATATGTGCGTCTTTATTTAATAACTCTTCATTTGTACTGTCTTTTCTTGCACAAAATGCCATTTAAGCGTCTTATTTATTTTTCCCTCTGTGTAACTTTGCGCGATATTCGTTATTATGGAAAACAAAAATTAATTTTCAATATTCTTCTGTATACGTGTTTAGCGCTGAGTGTAATGAGCTCTACGATAATCTCGAGAAAGGTGAGGAGGGCGCGACTACTTTGCGTCCAGATGAAATCATCGAAGAGAACACCGGTTTCGCAATTGTCGTTAATGGGCATTCATTAGTCCATTGCCTCTCGCCGGAATTGGAATCAAAGTGAGATAAATTTTTTTTTGTTTGAAAATTTATAAAGATACAATAAATTGTTTTTTCCCCCTTTTTTTAGGTTTCTTGATGTGGCTTCACAGTGCAAAGCCGTCATATGCTGTCGCGTGACGCCCCTGCAAAAAGCCTTAGTGGTAGAGTTAATTAAGCGCGCAAAGAATGCGGTAACCTTGGCCATTGGCGACGGCGCCAATGATGTCTCAATGATTAAAGGTAAATTTAAGTTTAACGACTATAATTCGTTAAGAAAAATTCTGTTTAAAACAAAAAATATTTAAAGTAAAGAAAAACTAAAAACAAAATTATGGATTGAGCAAAACACATTGGCTTTCCAATTGTCGGGCATACTTTCATACGACCATACTTTGCAAAGAAGCTGGAACATGCAACTTTGCAGTTCTTCGCTGCCGTATTGGAATAGCTCGGCCAGCAATCTATCGGCCCCGGCCGCCTTGGGTTTTCGAGCATTAGCCCTGTCGGCCAGAATCCCAAGCTCTTCCAAACAAAAAATGAAATGAAATGAGTTAAAAAAAAATCAATAAATAAAATAAAACTAACCAGAGCGAAATGAAATGAAAGAATACAAAACAATCTGAATTAAATTATAAGAATATATATATTAGCCACGGCCAAAGTGGTTTGTTACACGTTTTCCGATCCGCTAAATCAGAATTTCAGTGAGGTTTGACCGTCATTTTTCAGTACCAAGTAATTTTCAAAAACCACGTTGTAAAAAATTGTGTATTTTGGTACTAAAAAAATCTTTTTGTTGTTGTGGCGCCTAGTCTAACCCCGCTTTGGATCAGGCGGTATGAGTCGTAAGTCAACGAGGTCATCCAACCGGAGGCTTTAAGGGGAATGCAGAGATGGTTAGTGTCGTGCAGGCTCTCAATGGGCAATGGGTGATGGTTTGCCTCCGAAAACGCCACTCACTGTATTTCAATCAGTTAAATACAAATCCAAAGCCTACTTAGATCATAAGCCGGTTTTTCTTTGGTTCAAAGATAAAGTTAAAGGTGGGTGGGCCATGTCGTATGAGCAACATTTACTCAAAGGGCGGTTGGGGCGAAATAATGAAAAAAAGATACATTTAAGCTTCATTTATGTACATATGTGAACTCAAGACTTAATCCAATTTTATTATAATTATCCTATTACCATGCAGCTGCGCACATCGGTGTTGGCATCTCAGGGCAGGAGGGCTTACAAGCAGTTTTGGCAAGTGATTATTCAATAGCACAGTTCCGCTATTTGGAGCGGCTCCTATTGGTGCATGGTCGTTGGTCGTACTATCGCATGTGCAAATTTTTGCGTTATTTTTTCTATAAGAACTTTGCATTTACCTTATGCCATTGTTGGTATTCATTCTTTTGCGGCTTTAGCGCGCAGGTACGTGAGCAATTAAATCACACAATTTTCTTCATTCTCCAACTAACATATCTCTCTCGCAGACGGTATTCGATCCAATGTTCATATCTGTGTACAATTTATTCTATACGTCACTGCCGGTGTTGGCATTGGGCGTATTTGAGCAGGATGTCTCCGACAAGCACAGCATCGAGTATCCCAAGCTGTACACACCCGGAATGAAAAGTCAATTGTTCAACACACGTGAATTCGTTTACAGTGTTCTTCATGGTGCATTCAGCTCGCTGATTCTATTCTTAATACCATATGGTAGGCGCGGAAATATTTCGCTTATAGATTGAGTTTATATTTAAGCATTTTTCTCCTACGCAGGCACATACAAAGACGGGATCTCACCGAACGGACTCATACTCAGCGATCACATGACTTTGGGCGCGGTTGTTGCTACAATCCTCATAATCGACAACACAGCACAGGTACATTTTTTTTACCGTTAAAGCGTGGACTAAAACCAAAACAAATTTTGTAATAATTTTGATATTATTTTTGTATGAAACGCCACAGATAGCCTTGTATACCTCGTATTGGACGATATTTAATCACATCACCATTTGGGGCAGCTTGGTGTGTTTCTTTGTTTTGGATTACTTTTATAATTACGTCTTCGGTGGCCCTTATGTCGGCTCACTCGCAATGGCCATGAAGGACTTGACATTTTGGGCAACAACGGTGATAACGGTTATTGTGATAATGGCACCGGTATTAGCATATAAATTCTACTTAATCGACGTACATCCTAGCCTGGCTGATAAGGTGACAAGCATGAAATTTAAATCAATACATATAATATACATGCATACGTAACATACATAGCATACACACATACACATATACACACATACATATGTACAAAAAAACTCTTTAATAACTGTCAAACCCTTCCACAGATACGCCTGAAGTGTCGCGTCAGCACACGATCTCGACAAAGCAATATGGTAATGAGAACACCATCGGCGCGAAAGGCGCGACGCTCATTACGCTCTGGCTATGCGTTCGCCCATCAGGTGAGATATGACAAGAGTAGGAATCAAACAAATACTTTATTGTGCTATCATATGGATATGGGTCATGGGTTCGGATTCTGGACAAACCACGCTCGCTGTTTATTAGAACCTATAATTTTTCATATCATAAATACACAGGGAGCTTATGGCATTCTCTGCCAATAGGCGCCCGCGAGTATAAAAAGTGATATGTTTCCACAGCTTTATGTAATATTACATTTTTTTTCTCCTTAGGAGGGCTTTGGTCGCCTCATCACTTCGGGAAAGATTATGCGCAAATTACCACAGGAATTCGCCTTCCCATTGGGTTTGGGTAGCAAAAAGTTGCAACCGCAAACAACTGACGGTAATGAAGGCAAAAACAGTCAAAACAATAACAATAGCACGAGGAGTAACAAAAATTCATCGACTGGTTATCTAAACGATACCGACGCTGAAAGCGCAGCTGGCGGTGGCGGCAGTAATGGCGCTCATAACGAAGAAGATGTAAGCCCACGTGCACCTTGCCAAGACTTAGATACAATTAATCTTTAAGCTTAAATATATATGTATATGTATGTACATACATATGTACTTGTACTGTATAGAGTTTAGAAGAGGCCGAATTGATCGATGATTGGCAATTAACAGCAGTTACAGTCAATGAATGACCAAAATTATAAAAACCCAAAAAAAACAGGAATGAGAAATAAAAAGAGTAAAGGGAATAATTACAAACAAAAACGATGAAACAAAGGAAATGAAAAGGAAAGTTTTAACAAAATGCTATAGACATTAAGTAAGTCTTTAAGGAATCTACAATCAATCAGAAAAAACTTGGAATTTTAATAGTCATAGAATATAATGTTAATAATGTACTAAGATCAGGTGATGATTAATCAATTGCTATTAATGATTTTGTAAAAAAAAAAACAAATACACATGCAACAAGGAACTAAAATAAATATGTACAATGAAAAGTGACGCAAACACAACAATAAACTGCAATATTTTAGGCAGAAGCAAAAAATATACTACTTACAACAAAATACTGTAAAATAAAAGCTTTAATCTCTAGTAAATAGCTTTAATGCAACCTAAATATTGCCCATAATTTGTGCAGTAGTTGTTACTAACATAATTATATAATTAGACTAAACTTAGTTTCTACCGGAGGCAAAGAAAATCAAAAGAGGAATATAATCTCTCAAAAGGAAAAATTTTCAAGACAACGCAGAAGAATACTTGAAATTTATAGTATACATACATATAGGATTTCCCATCTCTCACACATACATATGTATTTATGTTCAATTACTTTAAGTTTTCAGTCACAAACATACATACATGTATACATACATACGAGTATTGTGATGCGATGATCTTCTTCATCTCAAAATTGCTGGTGCAACATACTTATGCACATAGAAATACAAATTCCCCAACTATCTAAATATTAATTAGTTAAGAAGAAATATATAATTTAATATACATACATATGTATTAATTATACGAAAATATTGGTGTATATATATATGTGTATACGTATATAGACCCACACATCTACCATTTGGGTGGTTCAAGTTTTTTGTTTTTTTTTTTAAATTAATATAAAGTATATTTCATACCTAAGACAAATTATATTCAGTTTCATTTAAAAAATACCAACAATACTTTCTCTGAAATTTTTCAATCGGAAAATACTATAAGAATACATACAAATATAAAAATTGTTGATGTTATTTGTTGAAAACTCACTTAGATTGTTTTGTTGCAATTCTATTCTATTCGACCAAGAACATCTTAAAAACAAAATTATGTATACATAAAAGGACATAATTCCTTAAAAGCTAAAATCGTCACACCAACAGATATTTAAATTTGAGGTGATGCAAATATTTTTCTTATTGTTGCAACGAGTACTGAAAATAAACAAAATCTCGATAATTTCTAAACATTAAATCTTACTCCGAAGAAATATTAATTTATTTCATTCATCTGAATATTTACAAAACATTACTAGTTTCAAAACGCAATTGAAATTTTTTTCAAACCTAACGAGCTGGCATGTATGTATGCATGTGTGTAGTGCATATAAGTATTGAAATCAACAGTGGTGTGTGATTTTCGAAGAATGAAATGTATTGTGATTATTTAAAACTTCTTTTATACAAAGCCAAAATAACTTAAGAGTAATCCGTAACTTGAACCGACTCGTCCTATCGAACGGTATAGTTCGGTCACGTCTGATTCGTTTCCAACAACTAGCAAGTGTACTTATGTAGGGTGGTGCTTTTAAAAGTTTTTACACATTTGTATACATACATACATAAATATTTGTAGTTGTAGTATGCATTCAGCGCTAAATGAATGCTTTTTAACAGGCAAAAAATTTTCCTTAGAGCTAGTACACATTGTACTCTTAACGCGTTGATGATTATCGCGGTGACGCATACGCACTTTTGTTTTAATTTATTCTATTTAAAATTTGTAAGACGCTTTTATAGGTTATTAGGAATATTAGTCTAAGCACCAGGCGCAAGATTATTAAGCCGATTATTGTTTGAAATAAAGAATATTGTATTTTTACATATATTTAATTGTGTTTTCTTTATTCTGTTTTACATTATTCAAGCGTAAGTTACTGATAAATTGAAAAATAATAAGATAGTATGAACAGCATATATAAAAAAAAATTAATTCTGTAACGCTTAAAAAAGTTTTTTGGGCAATGTGCCACCCTCCATAGCATCAATGAGTTTGCGCTTTAGACTGGGTCTTTCCTCGACAGCCTGTGTATTAGTTGTGGGCATAGGTAGTTTGTGGCCCACCGATGGCGCTGGTTTATTGGAAAAATATTTCATGCATAATGCTTCCGTGCATGTGCAACGTTGTGCCGGATTTAAGGCTAAAAGCTTTTCCGCCAAAACAATTAGGTCATCAGGGGCAGCTGTAAAGATGTGTTGCAAAGGAATGGCTGGAAATTGTTTAAATTGCATATAGTCAGGTAATTTATTCAGATTCGGCCAAGTTTCTTCAGTTGGTGTGCCGAGCGCTTGAAAAATCTTTGTGAGTTGATCAAGATCAGAATCGCCGGGTAGAAAAGGTACGCGCAATAAAAGTTCCGCTAATATACAGCCAACAGCCCATATGTCTATACCTGTACTGTATTGACGCGCACCAAACAGCAACTCCGGTGCCCTATACCACCTAGTTACCACTTGATGTGTGTAGATGCGATTAGGTGAACCGAAAAATTTGGCCAAGCCAAAATCACCAATCTTTAATACACCTTCTGTATTGACTAACAAATTGTTGGGTTTTAAATCACGGTGCAGTATCCAGTTCATATGTAGATATTCCAAACCACGTAATGTCATGATCATATATGCCTTGATATTTGCTTGCGTGAGTATTATTTTTGGATCTTTAATTATAATCTCCAGATCAGTATCCATAAAATCAAATACTAACGACACATTGGATTTATGGCCAAACACGTCAACTAAACCAATAACGTTTTCATGCTGCAGCTCATGAAGCAACTTGATTTCTCGCAGGGCAGTACGGTTTATCCCATCCTGCGCCTCTTCCCGGCTTCCGATTTTAATTTTTTTAACTGCGACAATTTGCTCGGTGAGGACATCCCGCGCCTTGTATACGGTGGCAAACTGAAAATGAAAGCAGACATTTCAAGCTCAAGTTGTTTTCTCTATTTCAACTTGCAAATTACTTACTTGACCTTCGCCAAGAAATGCGATTTTTTCATAACGAGTTAGTTTATTGCCCAGCTGCTGCATATCGTAAGTATTTGTATTATTAACTATTAAACATTTTTCATTATTTGACCGGCAAGTATATTTCTTCCAAACTCAGCTGTCTTTTCAAAAACAATGGTTATATCCCGCAGTGCGTACAACTCTGAAATGGATTTTAGTGCACAGTTCGATGGCTAGATGGCGCTCACCTTTACTATTATAATAAACTTATAAGAGAATTTACTTTCCCTCTATTACTAGTATAACTTTTTTAATTATATACAAATTGAAAATATTTCTAAACTTGCAGAACACCTAATATTCAAACCAATTAATGTTAAAAGAGATTAATCAATATTTTTCGCATATTTTGACTGTTCCACCCTATTAGGGACTGCCAGTTCAAAAAGAATAGATGTCACCAAATGTCAAGCCAACTCTTGACAACCGGATACATCAAAATGATTGAACTTGGTTGCACTACTGGAACATGTTCTTTTTCTGGCGAACGCCATTACTGTCTGGTGCGAAAGCAAATTTTCTAAGTTTAAAAGTAAGGATTTTTTATCTAAACAACTTTCAACTATCAAGTAAAGCGTTAAAATAAGAGGCAAAACAAAAACGTTAATACTGTGTAAATGAAAACTGAGGCTTGGACGCTAATATTATGTATTGTGACAATTTAAAAATTGAGGTTAAATCACATTCCAAAGCCACTGATTTTGTTCAATTACTACAAAACTCAACACGTGTACTTATAATAAACGTTAATTTTTTTTTATAAATCATTGCGATAAATACTCTAGTTAAAAAGTGCAAGTGCGATTAAGTCCACAACTAAAACCATACGTGCTAATTGAAGTGGCTTGTATGGTATTCAAGTGGACGACATAAAACATTGGTTATCTATTCCTCTTAAGGGTATCGGCTAAAAGATAAATTTCTTAATAAAGAAATACCAACATTGCGCTATTTTCACAGTTGAATAGTATTTAGGCGTCCATAACTAAAACCTTATACGCCCTAATCAATAGCATATATGGTATTCATTTGGACAATATTAAACTCATGGTTAACTATTCCTCTTAAGGTTATCGTCTCAAAGATAAAATCCTTAATAAAGTTAAAAATCAACAATATAAATACCACTTAACTAATTGAAGGTAATATTATATATGTATTAATGACTTCGTATTTTCTTTCAGAATGGCTGAAGTTGAAGAGAGTGTTGTCGAGAACTTCGATGAGCAACCGCCAATTGAAACTGAAGGCGCTGAGACCTTGTTGGAAACAAATGTTGTTGCAACAACTGAATTGCCCGAAATTAAACTTTTCGGACGTTGGTCATGCGACGATGTCACTGTAAATGATATCTCGCTGCAAGATTATATTTCCGTTAAAGAAAAATTCGCACGTTATTTGCCACATTCTGCTGGCCGCTATGCAGCCAAGCGTTTCCGCAAAGCACAATGCCCCATTGTTGAACGTTTGACCAATTCACTTATGATGAAGGGTCGTAACAACGGCAAAAAATTGATGGCCTGTCGTATTGTCAAGCACTCTTTCGAGATCATCCACCTGTTAACAGGTGAAAATCCATTGCAGGTAATTGTTAATACATTTATAAAGTAGTTGAATATTATTTACATCCTTGTCCCATGCTAAACTGTTGTAGAGAAATACTACCAAACTACAACAGGTAGAATGTGGACATAAAGAAAATAACGTACTTTTTTGTTTACTAAATATTTTGATATCTAAAATATTTATTCAAAGAAGTATACAACATAATCTTCAATTTAACAAATTGTGTTTTTATATTTATAAATATTCCAATAAAACCTCATATTTTCAGATTCTCGTAAGTGCCATCATCAACTCCGGTCCCCGTGAAGACTCGACTCGTATTGGTCGTGCCGGTACTGTACGTCGTCAAGCCGTCGATGTGTCGCCATTGCGTCGTGTGAATCAAGTAAGCTACATATAGTACATACTAATAATGATTAAGATGCCTAGCACAATTCCTTTCAAAACAATGTACCTTTTTTGAAGGGGTATAACAATAGGCTATATAAAAGCTTCCTTTAAATATCCATAACGCCAAAGATTATTATTTGCCTTTGTTGTATGAAATAAATGTACATCAAAGAATGTATCCTCTGTCCAGCTTATTATTCATTTTTGTGTAGTAAAACTTGGATTATGCTTCTGGACTAGATTGAAATGTAGGAGAGTTAAAAAAAAAAGCAATCATACGTGTATTAATTTGCTTAATACAATTCTAGAACAATATATTTTGATAGTAGTGTATTAATTTGCTTTAATACAATTCTAGAACAATATTTTTTGATAGTAGTTTATCTACAAATATGTATATTAAAAGAATAAATTTTACTTTTTTTTTCTCTTTTTAGGCTATTTGGCTACTGTGCACTGGTGCCCGTGAAGCTGCTTTCAGAAATATCAAGACCATTGCCGAGTGTTTAGCTGATGAATTAATTAACGCTGCTAAGGTAAGTTTCCCAATTATAAGAGGAAATAAATGTTTAATTAACTCGCTTGAATAGCCGTCTACTCTAATGCAGCGTAATGTTTTAATTGCCTTGCCTCGCTTGTAGACAATATAAAGATCAGATATAATTATATCGCCCTTTCTATTATCCTAGCATTTTAGTAGTCTATAGTACGTTCTATAATGCTCGAGAAACGTAGAAATACAAAATATAACATTAGATAGCAATACAGTCCCCTCTAATGCAAAGTAATGTTTTAACCAAATCACTTTGCCTCGCTTGTGGACAAGATAAATATACCCCTATTATCCTAGCGTCTAAATTAAATTATGTGTTTTGGTGCTCGAGAAACGTAGAGGTACAAGAGTAACTTTGTAGTATCAAACCAGTCCTCTCTAATGCAAATCAATGAAATTAGCCAAATTGCTTTGTCTCGCTTGAGGACGAAATTAATATTATTGGTTTTATTATCCTAGCGCTCTAAAGTAGTCAATTAGAGATTTTATTGCGCTCGAGAAACGTAGAACTACATAATATATATAAGATTTTGTTAAATATTTTTACTATATTTGCAATTGAAATAAAATTAATTATTTCTCATTTATAATTTTTAGGGATCATCAAACTCGTATGCTATCAAAAAGAAGGATGAATTGGAACGTGTTGCTAAGTCCAACCGATAAGCACTTCAATTGTACATTAATTATTATGTGCATTTTTTACATATAAAATTACAAAGATGATTTACTGAATAAAAACCACAAGTAAAACATAACGTCTTCCATTTTCATACTTTTATTTCGAAAATTAGACAAGATCCAAAAAATTCCTACATTTTATCCAGTGGAGGACCGTACATAATAAAATAAAAAAAATAAAGTATGCACCGCCAGCTACATTCTTTCAGCTAACTGGTTTCTTCAAATAAGGGAAGAAGATTGGATATCTTCAAAAAATTATAAATTTTAGTTATGTTTCCAGCTGGTTGTAAAATCTACAAATTAAGCAGTAAGTTTTGAGAATACATTAGATGAAATATTTAAATCAGGTTAGAAAAATGTGCGTGTAGAAAGTCAACTCATTATTTCCCAAAACGTACGTGTAAAAGAAAATTGTAAAAGATTAAAAACCCTGCAAGAAAGCTTCCGCAGAGAACATAGAATATATATCATTTCATCCAACATATGTGGAGGAATACATGAGGTCATATCCCGTCAGCTCATAGAAAGATTTGCCCATCATTCTCGTTATGAATATAGGTATATGCAAAGTTGATTGTGGCACTTTGCGTTTCGTTAATATATTTGCAAAGACAGCTTCGCCGTAACACACTAATTCTTTCTTAAAATTTAAGTTTAATTTGTGTCTAAATTATAGTCAGGGTCATGATACAACAGACAAGGTAGTTTCACTCAGACATTTTTTGAAAAATAATAACCATCAGACAAAAAAAGATGTTTTGACTTTTGCTTAATTTTTTTACTAGCAATTAATTGTGTAAAGACTAAATTTTCAAGCGACTCAGAATGTTGTTACAAAAAACATGTGAAATATTTTTATAGTGGCAATATCTTGAAGTTAAAATAAAAATGAGATATACATGCCTATTCTGTCGAGGTAAAAAAATTTACTTTGGTATTAAAATTTACCATTCAGTAAATTTTGTTACTATTTCGTATTCTGAGTTCACTGTCACCCTGTAAATTTTGTGACCGCCAAAATAGGTAACAAACAATCTGTTGTTTGAATTTGTGTTGTAAGTTTGAGAAAGAATAAAAACCAAAATGGGTAGGCATACTTTTGGCCTGGAATTCATTGATGATGAAAAAAAAATGTTAAAAGGCGTATGTTAAAAAGTTTGCGAGAAACAAATGACCTTTTTAATTTGGAAGGTACCCTGTTCATTCAGCTTTTTTTGTCGCGTAGGCATATTTTCCAAAATTAGCAATACTAAATTCAAAATTTACTTTACCGGTACCAATGAAAATATATGATAATGGCAAAAAATCTTTTTTTGTCAATTTTATATTGTGTAACACAACCTTCCTTCGTTCATGATCGGGAGTTTTCAAAAACTGCATCAACGATAAGTTTTTCCTATGCAAACAACATACATCCCTGGTTTACAATGAAATTATTGCTTTACAACACTGGTGCGCCCAAATGTCAAAACTTCAAAAAATTAAAAACACAATTTCGCGGTAAGAAATAAAAAAAAAATTGAAATCAGTCTGTAGTAAGCAATAGTCTACGATAAAAAATAACACTTAAAAAAATATAAAAACGTAGCAGAAATAAACATATCCAGTAGACATCGTTCTACACTCATGAATACAAAGCAACCAAAAACCTAGCTTGTGTGAGCAAATCCTCCCGCCCAAAAAACTAAAACAAATTAATAAAAACACACATTAAAGTGCAAAACAACTCCATAGAAAAAAAATCTGCTGTCTACACTGCAGAACTAAAATCACACAAATATAAACGAATTTAAGCAAAACATCAAACAGCTATCCGACACAACCAGTCCATTTACGAGAATTTACATCATACTAAGAACAAGGTGAGCTTATCGCTCCGCCATATAAATAAAAAAAAGTTTATTTAGTAAATATGTCCATGATAGACGATGTAACATTCATTGGAAACGACAAAGACTGCACTCATATTTCCCAATCGTATGTAGTGAAACTTTTTTCTGTACGATTGTATTTACGTTCTCTGATAAAATTTGCAGATTTCGGGACCAAAAGCAATTTGAATTATTCATACGACGGAATCAATTAATCAAAATAATTGAGGGCGCAACGGAAAACTTTGTAAAAAAATATCGTGAAAGCCAAAAACCTGAGCTGGCACTGGGACCTTTATTTGTGCCACTGCGATTAGAATATTCGGAATTCATTAAAAACGATGCCATTGAACTTTTGCATCTGGCTGTAGAAGAGCCACTGCAATTTTTTGACGCTGCAAAGTATTGCATATATGGATTAGTCCGCGAACGTATTAAATTAGCTGCAAGTACGGAAGGTTGTGGAGCTCTTAAGGTTATTGACATTGATCAGATTCATCTGCAAGTACGTTTTACTGGATTGCCATTGCAGAAAGATCTGAATTTCGCTCCATTTAAAAATAATTGGCTGCCGGGCCTTTCTTGGACAACTGGTATTATATCAGCAATCTCTGAACCGCAATTTGCAATGTAAACATCATTTTAGTTTGTATAAATAACGATGGACTTTGAGTTTCACGCATATATTTTAAAAATATTTATAACTTATGATTAATGGAAAATTACTAATTTATAGTTTACAATCGATTTGGTATTGTTCAACTGGATGCAACCGCAATAAAATTAATACGGACTCTATAAATGGTAAAATTTCAATTGTACTATTAATGCATCGTTAAATTAAATTTAATTTCCTTCGAAAAGCTCCTATTTGCTATACTTGTGGACGTTATATGAATGAATATGCAAAATTGCGTATAACTGAGAAATATCATTTACTGCGCATACTACCAGCCTACAGCCTTGAAAACCCTAGGGTGACGGATAAAATTTTTCGTTCACTTACGATTCACGTCAGAGGTAAATCCATTTCTTTTACATGAACATATGTATGTATTTACGTTAAAATTTTTAGAACACGTACATGACTGTGAGCTTCGTCTCGGTAAAAGTTATCTCATAACAGGATATTACGATTATACACACACTGGGCAAATATTTCAAGCATGGAGCGTAATGACACATTAGAAACCACGTTCGCTTCAAGCATGCGTAATATAACAAATTTTGAATTAGATGCTTTACTACATTTCGATAGCCCTCCACCTTCTTTACGGTTCTCGCGCAACACTGAAGCCTCCAAAGATGAGGTTGCTAAAGATGTTGATCAACCAATTAATGCTGTACAATTCAACCGTGAACCACTTCCATCCCAAATTGGCTCACAAGTTGAACACATAAACTATTTTTCCAATGGTTTGGATTTCACAATGAATTTTACACAAGAAAATGCAGCGCGAAGTCAATCTTTTGAAATAAATTCGATGGAAGTAGAGAGTATTGAATTAAATAACACTGAAAAACCGGAACGTGGAACCCAAACAATGAAAATTAATAATAATAATATTGGAAATCAGATTTTAACGAATAACCCAGCACAAATAACAGACAAGACTTCTGCATACAAGGATAGTGGTGCCGTTGAATGTAATGACGAGGATATCAAAAAAGAATTGCTGGATCTAAGCGCATTTGAAAACCTTTTCGATGATGAAGATGTAGCTTCCTTTAAAAATGCATATCTGGATTTTTCGGCAGATCAAGAGCTTTCATGCGCCAATGCAGATGACATAAACCGCATGGTAAGCCAAAGTTTTGAAACTTTACTTAGTCATTTAATGGCTAAATTATAAAACACACAGAATAAATTTAAATAAAAATACTATCAGTTTCAATTCAGCTACCATACTTTATGGTAATCACAAAGTGCCAATCACAACTATATACATAATATAAAAGTGGTAATATTATTCTTAGTGGGAGAAAGTTCATTTAGGGGACAGTTCAACTCATTAAATGCAATGTAAAATTAACTTAGCTTATCTTATTTTATATAAAAATAGAGATTAACAGGGCCGTGAATGAAATAGCTCAAGAAGCAAGCAAACTTAGCCTAACTAATTAAGTAATCATAACTTGCACAACGAAACTTCTATTCTACGTGTTAAAAAGCGTAATGTTATGATGTGCAAGTAATATCTTCTGGTACGCTACCGTCGGGAGCATCCCAACAGTCATTCCCTTGAGAGCACTACAACCAAATAAATTTGTGTATTTTTCTTTTTCTTTTTTGTACTTCTGGAAATATTGTTTATTTCAGTGTCAAACGCAGCTGGATGTCCCCAAACAAGAAAGTCAAGCTGAAAAACCAATTTACACATCGTGTCCCGTTCCCATCCGTATTCAGAAGACTCCCTCTTTACCCAGCACAATATCGCCTGCCAGTCTATTAAATTTGACCGATTTCCCGCAAAATATCCAAACTGCAGCGTTGGATTATACACACAAAAGCGATAATACAATCAATACAGCGGTAACAAGCCACGGTAATTTCTCACACCCGATAGAATCCGCTGCTGGTGAAACATCAAACACAACAAATACAATAGCAACAGCCAGCTCAGCCAGCTGCGATATCACCTCCGTTCCAGTTTCTGTGAAGCAATTGTATGATCTGGTACATTCACATCACTCAGACTTTGCGTTCGTGTTTGCGCTTAGCGCACAGCTATGTCAGGATCGCGTGCCAATGGATTGCTTTGTGAATTTAAAAATGGGTTGTTTGCTTAGTTTGGCTTCCATTAGTGTAGGTAATTTTACGATTTCTTACAACAACATGTTTACAATTATGTCTACTTTACAGACGAATCCTGATCGTCCACCCATTCCGATAATGGCATTCGGTCGTGATATTTATATTGCCAATTTTCTGCTTACAAATATAGCACAACTGGCTGGTCGTTTGGTAGGGCCCGCTGAAATTGTGAAACCACCATCCTGTGCCAAGTACCGTAATTGCAATTGGTTTGTAGCGGACCCCATACTGTTGGCCGATGGTGGTGTCTACTTTGCCGGAGATTGGTCAAGACTGAAGATGCCGCGTGCCGAGCAGATTTTTCGCATAATCGAGTGCTCTCAAGTGCCAGTCGAACGGTCTACGCAGAAACAACCTTTGGGTACCGCTATATGGGCACATTGGCGCTCAGTAAATGGCAAATCCAAGGATCAACAGACATTTAACAAAGTTGTTAAGTAAGTACACATCACTCTGTTGCTAATTTGGTATCTGCATGAATTTTGAAATAATAAAATCCAATGGTTTCTTTTAGAATTTTTGGCATACCCATTTGCATGGACGATGATGAGAAGCATGACGTGCTCGTCGATTACATTTTAGAGCAGTCATCAGTGAGAGTTTTCGAATCGACTGTGGATCACCTATCAATAAGCAGTGAGGATATGCGCGTCTATTTGAAGGCAATTTCACAGCGCAATGTGGACTTAACACCGGAAGCATCACAATTATTGCAAAAATATTTTGTGACCGCCCGATATGCACGACCAGGTGAAAGTTGAACATAATATTTGCATAATACATTCATAAAATATACAAATTTTCCTAAATTGCAGAGTGTCTAACTAAGCAGGCCTATGTCATATTAAAGCAATTTTCAGAGTCGTTCGCAAAACTCTGTTTCCGTCACGAAGTATTAGTATGTGATGTTGTAGCAGCAGTTTTCATGTGTGAACGTTTCATACGATGTGTCTATGGTGTTAGTGAAAATACGCCACCACCATTTGAATCCCACAACTTCGTGGGTTCGGTGGATGCATATATGTTAAAATTTCAGGACTGGCTTTATGCCTACATTAAGAAGTATGAAGATAAATAATAACACTATTTATCACTCCTAGATTAAAAACACAAATCAAGAAATTTCTAGTTCTAACTTTTACTGATTAAACTAATATTAGACACCTCAGCACTCTAACTTGAATGAGTGGTATTCTGCATTCTCTGATTGCATTACGTTGTGGAATAAAGGTTAAATTGCATAACGCCGATAGTAAACGGATTTACTTGCTTGCTTTCTGTGTCATTCGAACAGAGTGAGTAGATCTTAAATATAGGCCACTTCCTAGGAACCAGTAAGTGCGGCGCTCGGTACAAGTTGTTGAAAAACAATAACAAAATTTCTTGAAAAAAATAGTTTATTTTATTTTTTCATACTTTTTAGTTGTAAAGTTTACAAATAGGTATTCATATTGTATAATATCCATAAATATATATCTTTGATAAATGTATAGAGCTAAACACTTTACGGTTGAATTCAGTAAAGGGAGGAAATACGTGCGTCAATACAAGAAAAATACAAGAAAAGGCTGTTAATAATTAATGAAAATATGTACATACAAACGTTTGACTTTTAAAAGAAATTTATTTAAAAAAATTATGTAAAATTTTGTTTAAATATCAACGGAAATATTTATGTTCATTGCAAATGAAGTATAAAGGCACACATCTATAGAAACATATTTATGTTGAGCTAGATAAGCAGGATAATGATTTCACTCTGACTTTTTTCTTTCGTAAAAATGTTGAGCAATACGTTGTTAGGTTTCTTAAGCACTTTTCTTACTATTTCAGACTATGGTCGCCTATATTTAGTATATAAGTATATTTAAGTGTAAACTTAATTAAGTGTATAAGTGTATAAAATACATCCTTATGTATTAACATCAATTAAATGGTCAGTAATAATTCCGTTGAATTCTAATGAATATATGTATGTACATAAATCCAACGCTGTAAATGGTCTCTTATTTAATTATTGTAGTAACTTTTTCTTACCTTAAACATATTATTTTACACTTAATAATTTAATTTTTAAACATAAACAAATCCTTAGTATAAAAATATTTATGAGCTTAGTAGTCTAAGTTTCCTTGAGCGCCGGTGATAATGGCATCGATCCATATTCTTGCCGCGGCATCTGAAGCCGCCTGAAGATGGTAGCTGCGCTTTTTAGTCTTAACAATAAACGTGCAGTGTGGTCGTCCACTTTTCGAGGTATTCAAATGATCTAAATACACTTCGTCGATAGTCTGCAAAATGTTGGTAAAAATATTGGAAATTAATTTAAACTGAATTAAAATTTTTTTATGTAACTTTTAAAAAGAAATCTATCAGGGGTGTTACAGAAACAGATTGTTGTCGGAATCAGAACTGAAACCGACAAAATTATGTTAAAGGGGTTACACATTCCGATTATTGGTTTGCATATCGGTGTCATTTTCGAAACGGAATTTGTGTCGATTTTAGGTGTTACAGAATGTCAGTTACTCGTTGACAGAATTGTGTGCAAATTTCTTTGCAAGCGGAAATTTAATAAAAATACAAGTCTTGAACAATAGGTTCTACAAGCAATGTCTGACCGTATTCGTGATGTAAAAATAGCCACGAGCTTTTTGTTTTCCATTGTCGTTCATTCCTTAAATTATCCAGCGTGGGCAATTAAAACGTTCAAAAGCCTTTAGCCTATCTGTTATAACCACCGAGATACAGTCTCGCGCTAAGGCGATATTTGAGTACCACAGACCGTTAATAGGAGCCTTCTGCCAAAAGCCGCAGTGTGGCTGCAAGCTGGAGCACATGTGGGAAAGACAGCCTATCTAACTGGTCTTCAATGACATCCAGCACTATTACAAAAGCTTCTTTGTTAAGGCGATATTGTTCTATGAATCTTTATACTCGTACAAACAAATTTTGTTTCAACAAATGATAAATTAGAATGCAAGTTGCTCTTACGTCGACTCTAGCAGCTCCAGTGGATTGCTCTTATCCCTTGCAATTTTGCATTTTATTTTTTAGATTTATTCTCCAAATCCTTCTTTCATCAAAAATGCTATCACTGGCGAAATCATTTTATTTATAATAATCACAAATGTGTTAATACCAGGCCAGTATAAACATTAAATTGAATTGCTGGGTTTTTCGCACAAGTGTGATGACAGCAGGTTCGAATATAGGTTTTGCTTATCTTCGAAAAAAGCAAAATCAAGTCGTTTTTTTAACACCCAAAGATATTATGAGTTGTGCTGTTATGAATAAAAATGAAATGACTTCAAACATTACTAATTTTTGTCCTTGTGTATATTTAAATGGGGTGTAGTCAAGCATATGGATATGCGGTTACAGTTGCGAGGCAATATTCTATTCCAACTCTTGCGTCCACGTCGCGCACCCTGGAAACGTGAGCAACCCATGTGGAGCCTTGGGTCACGGTTAATGAGAGAGGAAGCTTCAGTGGAGCCACTCCTACTTATTCGGTTTGAGGGTCTGCTAAAGTCTAATTGCAGGGTCTGTTCACCAGAGGAGCGGCTGACATCACCGCCGTTCAAAAAGTGCGATTGACGGGACCAGTATGGAAGGGTGTAGGTCATGGCATGCGCGACAGTCATAACTTTGAAGTCGTAGATAACTTCGTGTATTTCGGAACCAGTATTAACACCAACAACAATGCCAGCCTAGAAATTCAACGCAGAATCACTCTTGCCAACAGGTGCTACTTCGGACTGAGTAGTCCATTGAAAAGTAAAGTCCTCTCTTGACGAACGAAAACCAAACTATACAAGTCGCTTATCGTTCCCGTCCAGCAATATGGTGCGGAAGCATGTACGATGACAGTATCCGATGAGACAGCGTTAGGAGTTTTCGAGAGAAAGGTTTTGCGTAAGATTTATGGTCCTTTGCGCATTGGCAACGGCGAATATTGCAGAAGATGGAACGATGAGCTGTACGAGTTATACGGCGACATTGACATAGTTCAGCAAAGCAAGAAGCAGCGGCTACGCTCGCTAGGCCATGTGATCCGTATGGATGCGAATACTCCAGCTTTGAAAGTTTTCGATGCAGTGCCCGCCGATGGAAGCAGAGGAAGAGGAAGACCTCCACTCCGTTGGAAAGACCAAGTTGAGAAGAACCTGCCTGTACTTAGTATTTCCAATTGGCGTCACACAGCAAAAAGAAGAAACGACTGGCGCACAGTTGTAAATACGCTATAATCGCATAAGCGGTGTCTAGTGCCAGTAAAGTATATTAAATTTCGAAACCACTCTGGCATCATTTAAAAAAAAAATATGAGACAAAATTTCAATTGTTCCAAATTCAAATTATTTTTGATATAAATTTTAATGCGAACAAGAAATTTCAAAAACAGAAAGAACCAAAAATTTCACAGCCGGTTTCCAATTAATTTATTCATTTGATAAGGGTTATAATTAACTGCAACGCTGGCGCTTAAAACGTCCGCCAAAATGGCCACTAACCAACAAATGGAAGTGGATGACACGGATAACGAAGAGTTTCAAGACACCGAGGAATTCTCCGATGAGGCGCCATCTAGCAGCATCAACCACTCACAATCAAAACGTTTCGCGGTGAAAAAGTGGCAAGCGCAGGCGCTGTGGTCGTGGGACGTAGCCGTAGAGAATTGTGCCATCTGCCGCAATCAAATTATGGATCTCTGTATAGAGTGTCAGGCGAACCCGCTATGCTCCAACACAAGAGAGGAGTGCACCGTGGCGTGGGGCACGTGTAATCACGCCTTTCACTTCCACTGTATCTCGCGCTGGCTCAAAACCCGACAGGTTTGCCCATTAGATAACAAGGAGTGGGATTATCAGAAGTATGGCCGTTAGCTAATGACGCAACGCACATAATCACACAATCTGCCCACGAAAGGAACTATGAGCATCGATGGAGTGTAGTGTAAATTTGTATTACCTCCAGTACGTCCGTTTTACAGCGTTTTGCGAGAACAGTCTATTTTCTAAACTTTTTTAAATGCAAACATTTGTATTTTCGGTTTACCTTAACAAATGCTAATTCATGAATATATCTACATACATAAACTATATTACCGCGTAAATGTGCTTTGTGTTTGATTTATTTTATTGTAAACTCACCGAAAAGTAGGCACCTCCCCTTGGCTTGCGCTCCGATTTATCCGCGTAGTAGATGAACGCGCTACGCTGTCGATCAAGTACGAACCATCTTCGCGCCCAACCGTGAAAAGTAGCGCCCAATTTATGTAGATAACTGTAAATATTAACATTAAATGAAAACAAATTAGACAACAATTCAAAAGGCGCTAAACAAATATTCGCGCGCTCGCATTCTATCACTCACCCACGACAGCTGAAGGCATCAACAAAGACATGCGGGCACAGCGTTATCTGATGTCCAGCCGATTCTATGTGATGGCGCAGATTCAGATCCGGTGAGAAGATCGGCAGGTAACGTGTCAGTGGACGTTGGTGTTTAGGCAGAGCACGTTTCCGCTCGCTCTGCACCGCGCCGCTGCCACTTCCACTGCCACTAGCGCTGCCGCCCGAAGTGGTCTCATTCGAATTGACGCTTGTGCGCTTGTTGACTGCTGTGGAATCATCGCCGCCGCTGACTAGGCGGTCAGTGGATAAGCTACTATTGCCGCTGATTCTCTTTGCTGCGTTTGGCGATGCGTTGGATGACAATTCGTAATTCGACTTGCATGTGGTGCCTTTGTGGTCGCCTTCTAGCAGATTGCAGCTCAAATCCGAATTGGCTTCGGAGAGTGGACGGGGGCTGGATGGAGATTGGCGCAGTTGTGTCTCTACGAATTCAGGCTGGGAGTGACGTTGCTGTGCAAAGTAAACAAAATGTGTGAGTGTATGCATGCATATGTTTGTAAATAAAATGTAAATTGGCACGAAGCTGATAATAATAGAATTTTTAGATGCAAAAATAGAAGTATACAAATATGTACGAACATGTATGTATGTATGTATGTATGCATGTAAAAATCAACATTAACGAGTACATTATAAATGTTTAATTGAAATTGCGAGAACCGTGAAACTTTAGGCGCGTATGTACTTACATATGTATGCCCATAACAAATGTACGTGATGACTAACAGATAGGGGCGATGTGCCTATTTGCTCTTCACACACTTTTCGTGGTGCTATAAATATTTATACATAATGAATGTACATACATCCATATGTATGTGTTTAAAATATGCATAAAATCTAATTTTACCCAGCCACTATTTTTTTTTTTCTTATCTAAGCATAGGAAAGGTATTTATGCGTTTAGAAAACCAAATATTTGCTAGAAAATATAAAATTCCAAAAATGAGGCGCTTTTGTGAACCCTTAAGGTCCCTATAATAAATTCATGAATAATTAAACTAATAACACGTTTCACCTTAGAGTTTTTAACCGTCTCCGTCACTGCGTAAAAAGCGCAAATATTTTGTTGCGTTTTGGATTATTTAAGTTTATTGAGCTGACATAGACCATCTATTTCATAGGGATTGAAGTTATAGCTGCTATTTCGGAAACTACCACGTTTTCCTTATCTCACTTATTTTCCGAGCTGGATCCGAACTTGGGATGGCCGCAGGACTAACCAATCGTTACACTATTGTGTGGGTTTACTTATTGTTGTCTTTCCCTTTTTTCTTTTTTCAGAGATCCACCTTGAAGTGCTCAGATATTCTGTTGCATTTTGTTACTTTGAATAAATTATTTTTTATACTCGGTTGTACTATGTAGGAGAGTTACTTCAAGCACTTTGACTTCTTCCCAGGACATTTTTTTTTTTCATAACCATAAATTTATTTACAAAAAGGGTAAAATTAACTGAAATACTAAAGAAGTCTCGATGGTCAAACAAACCTTTACACCAGCAATGAGAGTAACCCGAGATACCCGCGTATTTAGGTTTGTACGGGATAGATATTGATCAAGCTTCAAGGAATGACAAGACGAATCCGACGAATCCAGCATATGGGCACAAGCGGGTAGCGCCTTTGTCCCATATAACGCACCTTTTTTATTAACACGAAATATTTAAAGCCATTAATCAACCAATCTCAACCAAACTTGGTACTGATATGATGCTTTTAAAGTTATAACGTTCATTGTGGTTCACATTAGCTGATTTAGAAACTATTAACATAATTTCAGAATTGATGAGTGGATTTAAAAAACAAAACATTGAGGGGTATTAAAGAAACCGACACGAAATCGTCGTCAACAAAAATCATTTTAATTCTGTCAACATAAATCCTTGTCCTTTTAAGGGACTATTAGAAAGGACATATTGATATTTTTATCGCTGGACGGCTATTGAAATACAATAAATTTTGAATACAATTAATAGCTTCAAAATGTCACATAATTGCAAATTTTTAAAACACTTGTACAGCTTGATGGCTAATTTTTACTGGATCCTGTTCGATGAAAGCTCAGTAAATTTCTTTATTTCGGAGAGTAAAACATCTTCCTCTCTCAATTATGTTACTTGCTGGTTTTTACTGACATTTCTCAACGAACACAGCTAATCAGGGGTGTTATAGAACTGACACAGAATTGATCATTTATCGGAATTGAAAATCAATATCTGTTTGAAATGGTATTGCGTTTCTCGAAAATAAGCAAAACCTATATTCGAACCTGCTGTCATCACTTTTGTGCGAAAAACCAAGAAATTCAATTTAATGTTTATACTGGTCTGGTATTAACACATTTGTGATTATTATAAATAAAATGACTTCGCCAGTGATAGCATTTTTGATGAAAGAAGGATTTGGAGAATAAATCTAAAAAATAAAATGCAAAATTGCAAGGTTTAAGAGCAATCCACTGGAGCTGCTAGAGTCGACGTAAGAGCAACTTGCATTCTAATTTATCATTTATTGATACAAAATTTGTTTGTACGGGTATATAGATTCATAGAACAATAACGTCTTAAAAGCCTTTCTAACAGTGCTGGATGTCATTGAAGACCAGTTAGATAGGCTGTCTGTGGGACAATGAAACACGGAGAGCTCGTGAACCTTTTTTATTTCAATTACCGGCATTACTGGTTGTAGAATCCATTGTTCATGACCTACATTTTTATTAAATTTATTGTTTATTCAACGAATAACTGCTCGGTGTAATTCTAACATTTAAACCGATAAGTTGGTTTCTGTAACACCTAACATCGACAGAAATTCTTTCGCGATAATGACATCGATATTTGTATAATTTGTAACCCCTTCAGCAGAATTTTGTCACAAAAAACGCAGTAAAAAAACGTCTAATTGAGCAAATTGCCAAAGTAAACAACCCATGCTTTCGATGCAGGAAGGGAAAGTTCAAGCAAACGCAACCATAAATATTTTTTTTCGAATTAATCGTTGAGGTCCAGTACCCGAGAAGTATGCATGCATATGTTTGTAAATAAAATGTAAATTGGCACGAAGCTGATAATAATAGAATTTTTAGATGCAAAAATAGCTTATACCTTGCAATTTTGCATTTTATTTTTTAGATTTATTCTCCAAATCCTTCTTTCATCAAAAATGCTATCACTGGCGAAGTCATTTTATTTATAATAATCACAAATGTGTTAATACCAGACCAGTATAAACATTAAATTGAATTTCTTGGTTTTTCGCACAAAAGTGATGACAGCAGGTTCGAATATAGGTTTTGCTTATTTTCGAGAAACGCAANAAAGTAAACAACCCATGCTTTCGATGCAGGAAGGGAAAGTTCAAGCAAACGCAACCATAAATATTTTTTTTCGAATTAATCGTTGAGGTCCAGTACCCGAGAATTTCATGCAACTTGTACATTAAATAAGATTTTTAAGAACTATTTTCTGCATACTATTCTGAACAAGAAAGCCTCAATTCATTAAATTTCAAGTGCATCGAATCACAAATAAGATTATCCCGTATAAATCGGTAACTGGTTCACTTCCCCGAACAGTACAAACATCCTCAATTCAGGAAAAACTGTACATTGCTCTTAACTATATATGTATGTATGTACTTGGATATATAGGTATGTAGAGGTCCGTTTATACACGCGCACGCCTTTCTATAAAGTTTGAGTTTAAGTAGGCGTATGTAGTCATCTACCGGAATATGGAATGCACCAAGCAAATTCCATCTGTCCAGCTGTTTTGGAAGAGTTTGGTTACAAACAATGTGACTGGAGAATTTTATGTATCACATTTTTGCCTTGGTTTTCGATCCTTAAAGTATTACTTAAAAAGACGATAAAACAGAAAATTTGATTCTAAATTGAGGAAATAAATTGCTCGAGCTGCTACTCAGCGTTTGCACCTTAAAAATATTTTTTTTTAGTTTCCAAAAAACTCAAACTCTTAGGACAAATTTGCTTTAGTGGGTGAAAAGAAATCTTATTTTTTAATGTTTCCACCGTCAACATAGTAATCAAAATTAGAAGCCTAAATCAGAATCACTTTCTGTTGACACCTATCCACACACACACATATATGAGTATATATTATATTTGGTTATAGATTGTAGCATTTTATTATTTCTTCGCACTCACTTGATAATAACACTCTGTTCTATAACGTTTGTTTGAGTCTGCATGACGGTGCTTCACGTAATTCATCCACACGGACATGTTGTTGTCTTTTTTAATTTAATTTAAATTTAATAGTTTGTTTCTTATTTTTATCAGCTTTTACTTATGCGAAATTCCTGATCCAAAATACTTTAATATTTGTTAAATCAACACAGTTTTTTCATAAATGCACACATCCGATCAATTCTAATTTCCGCACAATTGTGGAGAGATTTCAAATGAGAATCACTTGCCCAGCGCGCATTTTTGAGTATTTATACGAGCGTAGCCACAAGCAAATCTACAATACTGGCAGACACTGTCCAGAACTGTGTTCACTGAACGCAGGAGAAAATAACCACACTTTTACTACGAAAATTCACCATCACACATGTACTTCTCTGTATTTACATATTGTCATAAAATGATATAAGCATCAGTGATGGTAAAATAAATAAATCCTTTTTTTCATTTTTTTAACGCCAACGGTATGTACATATGTATAATAGAACTAAATAAAATAAAACACCAAAATTGAATAAAATAAATAACAAAATAATTTAAATTAAATAAAAAATTAAATTGTATTAAAACAATTAAGTAAAAGAAAATTAAAATAAATAAAAAAAATTAAACTAAATAAATATCAATTTAATTTAATAAAAAAAATTTATACAAATAATACATTGAATAAAAAAATTAAATTATACAAAAGAATTAAATTATTAAAAAAAATTAATTAAATTAAAAATAAATATTGCAACTACAAAAAAATTTAATTATATAAATAAAATTAATTAAAAAATTAAATTAATATTTAAATACAAAAGAAATTTATATTATATAAATAAAATTAAAAATCAATAAGGAAATTCAATTGGTTGAGAAATAAAAATAATTAGTTGAATAAGAAAAACTAAAGAAAGAATTAAATTATAAAGCAAAAATTAAATAAAAAAAAAATTAACTAAATAATAAAGTAAACAAATAAAATAAATAAACTAAATCATATAAATAAAAGTCAAAAAATAGAATTAAGAGCTTAAAATAAAATCAAAAAGTAAAAAACAAAATAAATAAGTTCTTTGACCGTAAGGCTTTATTAAAAATTAAGCATTAATATTTTTTTTGTTAATTTGCCAACACTGCTGGGAATTCAAATTGTTTAAACACATTCTCCTATGAGTAAGAGCTGTTGAACTGTTTGAGAAGTGAAAATAGCGCGTACTTCTTGTATCCAATCCTTAATACAAAATTCTATACACATATATTTCATAAACATAAAATGATTTAAATATACATATATTTATACAAAACATTACGTATTTGAACAATTTCATTTGTTTTGGAATATATCTAAGCTCATGACTAATATGTACATACATATGTGCGTTTGAATAACTTGCACCTGCCCATAAGGATTAGGGTAGGTTGAAAATAAAAATAATTTTTCTAAGCAAAATTGAAATATCTTTGTTTAAAATACCAAATCAATAAACCTGATCCAAGCACATGTACATACATAAATATTAAATATACAATACACGTATGTATATATGTAATGTAAATATTTCGCTAGCTATGTGAGAGGCAGCGCCCACTAAATACGTAATATTCGCATGACGTGCAAATTCTAAATAAATGTACATATGTACATATGTATGTAAGTACATACATATAATACATATAGATATGCTATAACTATGACATACTGATATGTATATAAAAATCGTTGACGGAATATAGGAAAGTAGCAGCACTTTTCAATTTTCATTTGTGATTTCTCTGAACTTGGTTTCTACTCGTTCAGGAATAGAAAAAAGTATTTTTCGTGAAATATTTTAAAATTGAAACTACAAACTACTACACTTGGGCAAAATAATGACTTTCAATTGACATCAACCATCCGTTGGCGGCTTGCAACTAATAAATTTACGTACATTTGTATATATGTACGAGTTTAAAGCTGGCGCTTCATAACCGTTGAGCCGATTTTCGGCCGAGCATCATCTTTCCAACAAATGGAGGGGACCTACAATCTGAACTGAACTGATGGAGGAGTTTTAATTCATGTCAAAAATATAATACTTTCAGAAGGATTGTCATTCTCTGCCAAAAGGCGAATGCAAAAGGAAAAGGGCTGGGGCTTTGGGTTTTCCCGTTTCGCAGCTATTTTAAAACTTTTGCTAAGATTTTTAATTTTTATAAAGCCTAAATGTATGCAAAGTTTGATCTGTAGTTGATATAATGTTGGCTACTATATTTTAAATACATTTTAAATACAGTGCGCGGGAAACGTGGTTTGTACGTCTGTATTAGATTTTACCACAATATATTAATTGCTGTGGCATTGCACCATCGTTTGATGGTTTGTACAATAATTTACAAAAATAAAGCATTACTGCGTACTTTCTGCATTATCTACGCCTCCGCACCTTTCCAAAATTTTAAAGCGTTTATTCAATGGCAAATTTATACGAGTAATCACCATTTGTTGATGTTGATGTAAGGAATAAAATTTGAATTCGCAGAATCCGTTTAACGGCTGTTTGTGCGGAAGTAAATATTTATCATGCGCTCAATTTACGCCGGTTCTGTTTCTTTGCCCGCGGCATGTTATTTTTATGAATTGATGCATATTTTTATACACACATATATGTATATGTATATGTATTTATTGTGTTTTGAAGTACAAAAATTTTATGCTTCCATACATACATATGTACACGCATGTATAACGTCTTTTTATATAAATCATTTGAAAACATATGGACGGTAGGCGTATAAGACTCTGGCATGAATGCGCCCATTTCAGTGGGATGGAATGATGTGTTTTCCAGTCGCTTGCTAAATAACATTTTTATATATTTATATCAATGTAAGGAAACAAGTTTAAATATTGGCAAATGTCGAGGAGATGTCTACTACAAAGTTGAGGGACTAGTTTGCACTTAAGTAGTCTGAGGAACAGACCGAAATGATTACATCAACCGAACTTGTCTTGCTGATCATACTCACAAATTATTCAAGCGGGAAGAGGGCGTGTGTAGTTTATTGAGCATTAGACGCGTTTCTATCAATCTCAGCTGCTCAAGAGAGCAGGCATGGACCACTTTAGCTGTATCATTTCACTAACCATTTGAGAGTGACATTTTTGCATATGCATGTACATCTGCTGTCAGAATAATAACACTACTAGTATAAAAGATTTTAAACGGGTAACAAAATCTCATTTATTCCAAAAAGGGTTTTGCAATTTTATTCAAATTGGAAAAAATGTGTATACATAATGAATTGAATTGAAATTACTACGGAACCGAAAAATCTCAAAATTTAATATGTCTAAATTATAGCACTGGTCATTTTGACTAGAAAGCAAAAGATAATTAAATTATTTTAATATCGTTTACTTTGGTTGTAATATGAGTTTGAAGGATAATAATATTTTATTGCCTTATCCTTGTTAGAATCTGGAGGTTTAAATCTGGGTATTGTGCAGGCCATTCCATCAAAGGGACTATATTGGAAACTACTTTTTATCTGTTTGGCTGGTTTACTTGGGGTCATTGTCTTATTGCGTCCTCCAATCAGTTGCATATTATCAGAAGGGCACGGTAGCATTACTTCCTCGAGTTTTTTAATGTAACGGAACGCTTCGTCACGGCCGCCTGGATATCCTAAATCGACTCAAAATGGGTTCCTCTGACCACCAATTTTGTTCTAGGGAACAAAAAAAGTCACAGGGTGACATATCGGGCGAATAAGGCGGTTGTTGCAACACGGCGATCCCTTTAGAGGACAAATACTGGGACACGCCGAGGATCCAGGTACGAGCGATGTCTGGGCGCACGCTGTTGACTCGTTTTCGCAATATTTCGAGTACTTGGCGATAGTAAACTAGATTTACGGCTTGGCTCGGTGGAAGAAATTCTTTGTGGACGATTGCACGGCTATCAAAAAGGCAATAACCATCATTTTCCACGCCTCGTCTTCCACGCTTTCACGCGCCTCCTTAATCTCTTTATTCCATCAAAAAACTTGGGCACGACTGAGAGCACTGTCACCATACACTTTTAGGATTTTAGCGTACGTTTCGGAAGCTATTTCGCCCAATCTGGCGGAAAATTTTTTCGCGTTGCTCTTGATTTCGTTTTTCTATTTTTGTGACGAGCACCACGAACACATGTTTACTCAACACCTCGTATATTCCCTACAATTATTATTTTTAATTTTTTCACCTTTACAGTGTTTATCACGACCCTTTGCGAGCACTATAGTGTCAAAACTTAAAAAAAAAAAAAAAAAAAAAAATATTGTGAATACGTATGCCAATGCAAATTACAGTTTTAAACTGTTTTAGAAAATTTGTGACGTTTATTTGAATATATATTATTGGTGCTATTATTTTGACAGCTCCCTCTGAATGTAATTATGTTTTTGAATGTATTTTGAAATAAACAACCGTTATTTCGACAAAAAAATGTTACTTAGAGAGTATACTTCTATAACTCACCTGTAAGGTTATGGAAAAATATATAAGCATTGTCCCAGAATTGCATAAGGAAATTAAAATGCTATTATTTTCACGACAAATGTATATATATATATATATATATATATATATATATATATATATAGATATATATGCAATACAAATCTGTGTGCCACAGCGCAAAAATATCCAAATGACAGGAAGTAATAAGCCAGAGAGTTAAGTTTTAAAAGAGCTCACGCTCCTTTGGTAAAAATATATACTTTTTGAGACCATCTGCCTGATAATTAATAATGTTGATCATGAAATGTATGAAAAAATGCGCTAACTATCTATGAAATGAATGAGAAAGTAAGAATGTTTTCATTCACAAACACATGTTGGTATATATGAATATTTGTATGTATATGATACCGATCATGATAAGAATCGTTTCACCAGCTATCTTATAAAGGAAACGGTATAATAGACATTTGTGAATACTATTTATGATGTCATAAGTAATATTTTACTATTCAAACATATTTTAGCATTAATGCATTTATACTAACGCCAATAAAGAAGAAGAATACATTCATACTCTCAAAGCTTGGTACTGTTGGCCCTCTCTATTCGGTGAGAAATGCCAGTAAGGCCAGAAACGTAATGTCAACATTGCGTTCTCTCGGTGGGAATTTTACTGGCTTTTGGCTTGACCGAATGCGCTTCAGGAAAATTCATCAATTTACCAAACGAAACTAATGTTAAATAATGCTCACCTGACTAGATTTCTCAACTTGTAATTCATTTATTCTATCGTTAGCGCCACTGTGCGCACACGGTGTTGCTCCATTTTCCACAGCGATATTCGTCTTTTGTGCTGAAGTCACAACTCGTTGATTATCTTTGTTGAGACAAGCAGAGGCTTCATCGCTCTCAATATTTTTCAATTCTCGAATTTCATGTCTTGAGGAGCTGCTGCTGTTATTGCTGTGGAAAACAAATGTTAAAATTAATGTAATAAAGAGTTAAATATGCCACATACTTATGTGGTAACATATGTACGTATGTGCGGAAAGAATTGTTAAAAAGTTATGTCAGTTATCTCACCTACAGATAAGCCCACAAAATTTATCCATAACAGCAAACAAAAAGTTTTCTTTTACTATTATATTGAAATATTGGTATTGTTGTCGAAAACGGCGACAACTTCAATTATACCGTAAAATGTTACTGCCGGTAGTAAGCGCTTGTGGGACTATACTGCGAATCAGAAGTCGTGCATATTAGCGCTCATGCGTAAATAAATAACCTACGTTAGTATGTATGTTTATTTAAGTTGCGATTGTATTGATATTTCAGAGTAAATCACAAATACACAAGTACAAAAAGAACTGATATCAAAATAATGCTCAATGATAAGAAATTTTATCAGATGTCTATAAAACATTAGACGGCAAGCAGAAATGATAAAGCAGAAAGAAAGAAGAGCGGGAAAAGAACGACAACAAAAAGCTCTCAGTGAGAGAACACAGAGTTAGTCCGTGAACTATTTAGTCATTCACAAGTTGGTGACACATATAAATATATATGTATGCTCACAGATATGTATGTACAAATGTATGCATGCTTATATCAAGAGAAGATATTTCTCATTAACTGAAACGATTTTTTTCAATTAATTCTCTGCAGCGTCGGATTCAAAGAAGCACCGAGCTTAATTAAAACTATCAGCAATGTTTTACTGTGTGCAAGGGCGTACATCATCGTTTTATCGAGGCAACGGAAGAACTATCGCGGTTTTAGAAAAAAAAAAAATCATTCGACGTTAAATATATAATATTTTCTTCTTGAATAAATTAATATTAAGTTGGCTAATGCATGCAGCTCACCCTTTTGTATTTTACTTCATTGCATTCCACTGATATATGAATAAATTCAAATGAATACATATATCAAATATATTTGGCACTTTTTAGCCGCTGAAGGGATTCTGGAGGGATCTACAGTTTATACTAAGCCGCCTCTGAAAGGCTGATGGTTTTTTATGCGGAGCAGATAGAGCAATCAAATAGCTGGGTTGACAACGCAACGGATAGGCAAGCATTCAGTCAGCTGACTTTTTTTTTTTGAACTACACAAATAAAATGTGTGTGTTTTTAATCCACCGACAAACGTATTTTTATTTTAAAAATTGAGTCTGCATTGATTGCGGAGTCGTTTCGGGGCTTTGTCTGAATGTTAGTGAACTCCACTAAATATTGAGATGTGTCTTAGGTCGTTTAGGTTAAAAAAAAATCACCAGAAAACATTTTTAATCATAGAAAACAACGACGAATGCTTAATTTCGCAATATTAAACAGATGCTATCAAACCGGTTTTATGCTCGCCATATCAGCTCTCCCAGTCTTATGTATGTATGTATGTATGTAGTTTAAAATTCGATTCTTTGAGCAAATACTAAAAGCCTCATTTTATTTATTTGTCATTTATGCCAATTTAAAGATTATATACACACACACACACCAAATAAAAATTCGAACACACCAACATTATTAAATACTATATCCCAAAGACACATTGGCATTCTTCGTAGGGTTAACTTGGTGAGCGTGGTGTCTGAATTTAAAAACTCTATCATCAGTAGTTAATCATGACATTATACGTATACGGAAGTGAAAATGGATGCTATGTACACAAAATAAATACATATGCGTGAAAGAAAAGCAGCGTCATTTCCATTTTATTTATTATTAAGTCTTTCAATATATTGAAAGCGCTTGATGAAGTGTAGAACTACTGATTATATTTTGAGAAAGTACTTTTTTCTACATTTTAATATGATATAGATATATGAAAGTATCTCGCATTTAATTCTATTTTAATTATAATTGTTACACAAATATATCAGTTTTATTCACGAGTGTAATTTAAAGAATTAATAATATCTATTAAATAATGTATTGGTGATTTCCTTGCTTTTATAGGAAACTCTTTAACTCAACTAGAACATCATAATTAAACAGACTGAGTTAGTGATTTGAAATTACTTTTTTCCCGAATATAGTAGTAAAGTTTTACACATTCGGCTCAATTTAATTCTGTGTAAATACATCAAACTTTTATTGAAATTCATAACCAAAACACTGGTTTTCAAAGAGTTAAACATTAAATGCCTGCGCCTATAGCATGCAGTCTCGTACACTCGTCTTATACAAATACCATTCATGCCATTCACGCATGTCTAACGAAATTTTTCTCCTCGCGACAGTACATAGTATGAGTCTATACAGACATACATGTCAACGTAGGTTAACAATTGCAGTCATTGACACATGCACATACATATACTTTCTGCCGAACTAATTGAGTTTAATAAACGCGAACTCCATACAAAATGGAGCAGTGGTTCTACAATTCGCAACACACCCACATACACTTACGTTTTGCTTTAATTGAAAATAATGCAGAATGCAGTAAAGCCAGCCACTCTTTGTAGCGACTAAATTTTCTTAGTGCATCATCATACTTACTCTTTTTCGCCGTTGTTCATTTTTAAAAGATATTGAGCGCGTGCTTCATCATGACATTTTTTCTTTAGATCAATTATTTTTTGACGTTCATGCTCAATCACGTGATGACCTAAAATATGAAATGAAAAAGTTAAAACAAATTGGAAATGTAAATCACTTTAAATCTACCTTGCTGTGCCAACAGTAATTGACGATTTCGTTCGATCTCCTTGATGCTGTCGAATATTCTTGTACTTGCACCTTTTGTCGAAATCGGCGCATTGCTTGTCACTTTACATATGCGATCAATATCATCCTGCGATGGCACACGACGCTCCAATGGATTTACTTCGAAGTCATCACTACCCAATGAAAGATTGAATTTAACCCGTTCATCATAGGCATCATAAGACGGCCCGTCAAGTTTGACACGAAGAGACGCGTCTGCTTCGGTTCCGGCAGTTTGCAGCGCATCATCGATATCAACAACATATAGTTGCTTTCGTTTAGGAGTGCTTGAGTTGACGTTCGCTTGAAGTGGTAGCTCGATTTTATTGTTATAAAACATATTCTCATTCATACTTTTCGACATTAAATCCTCAGTTGTGTGTTTGGGACAAAGTAATTCAGCCGAGCCGAAAAGTGATTGCGACATAACACCTGCAGCAAGATTGCTGTGCTGCTGCATTGGCGATGAGGATGAAGCCGGGCTGATGTCTTCCTCGGACGAGTTCAGCGTTAACTCACCCGTTATGCCGCAAATACTGCGCTCAGTCAGTTTCAGATGTTCTTGTTCTGTTTTCAACGCATTGCATGCATTCACCAATTTGGCTTTTAATGTTTTTGCATGCATAGAGGTATTGCCCAAGTCCTGCCTTTCCAAATGTTGTAACTCAAGGCGTTTGTCTTTTATTTTACTTGTCAAATTAGTTTCTTCATTGTGCAACTCCTCGCGATAAGCGTGCCATTCAGATTCTTCTTCCAAATATTGAAACTCCAAATCTTCAAAAGTTTTCCGATCATTCTCCAGCGATTCGCTGACATTGTGAAGCTCTTCTTTGAGGCAGTCATTACTGGGTTTTTGTTGCAACATCAATTTCAATCTAGGCGGATAAAATATTAGAAACATACAATAAAAGAGTTGCAAAAAATGCATTCGTAACTCAACACAATCGAGAGAAGTTTTTTTTTCGATTTTGATTAAACTATTTAAAGTTATAAAACAGCGTCAACGAAGTGCACTTATTTTCATTTTCATTTCGCTTGAATTTAAAAACTGATCGAAGTACAGAATATGACTAAATGATCATTAGTTTATTTGGACATTTTCCCCACTAATCATACATTTTTGAAACACATAGGTTATCCATTCTACGATTTCGCAAATAAACGTAAATAAAATGCATTTGAAACCACTGTTTTCATAAAGTTCCAGTCTCTTCTTTCTTCTTTTGAGGATTATGTGCAAGATTACGTGGCAACGTTTGAAATTATCTTTGTGGTTGTAGGTTTTAACAAGGTTGCTAAGCGATTCATTTTCATAAATGCCTGCCTTTAACGAAAACAAAGCATGTATGATTTGACAGTTAAGTCTATCAGATATCAAAACACAGCCTTTTACTTTTGAAACCATAAAATGGATAACCCTATATGTACATTATAAATTGACAATGTAATTGGCGTTTTGTAACTAATGAATTGATTTTCGGTCAAGCACTTCCTCTAATTTGTGGTTTGTGGTTTTGTGGCTTTGATGATTTTTCAACAAATGGAGGGGTCTACAGTTTGGAAGGGTTGACATTCTATGCCGATGGGCGAATGGAATTAAAAAAATCAACATAGTTTTTTATAAAAATTTAGGATTTTGGTCGGACCAGAACTCGTACCCTGGCCTTCCGAATAGCAGTACGCAGTGCTACCATCTCAACTATCGCGGCCACAAAATAAATAGACATAGATTTTTGCAGTTCTACAATAGTGTGGATGTATGGAAATGTTTATGCAGTATTTCTAATCTCTGGAGCATGCATACATTCGCCTCTTTTTGCTACTCACTTCTTCACTTGATCTTGCTTCATTTCAATTGACTGTTTCAATTTGGCCTGCTGATTCTCTTCCATTACACGTGTAGCATTGCGTTGCGCCTCGAAACGGTGAATTTTATTTTGCAAAAGTTCAAGTTGTGTTTCCAACTCGCCAACAGAATCACCAACCGAGTTGACTTCGGCCGTCACCAGCGCCTTCTCCAAGTCCAACTGCAATTAAATAAACAAAATATTTACAAATGCAATTTATTCTCAAATATATATGTAAAATTTTGAGCACCTACCTCCCTTAGCTCCTCCGATTCTTGCTTCTGCAATTCTGTTATTTCGTTCTTCAGCTCCTGCACTCGCAACAAAAGCTGTTTTCTCTTTTGTTTTAATAGTTCAACGTCGTCAGAATACATCGAAATCTGTTCTGTTTTCGTTACTTCCTCAACGTCACTTTTAACAGAAGCAGATGCTTTCTGCGATGCTACACTGACACCGCCTGCCGTTGATGAGGTTTTAACGCCGCCACCATTATTGAAGCTAAGTTGAGCCATTTTCGAGAACAAACGTGGTGCTGGGGCTGGTTTCTTCTGCAGCTTGGGTGAGTTTTGCAACGAATTAGGCTCGTGTAGGTTCAATGTTAGATTATTGATATTTTTATTTGTACGTTTAGCAGGTGACTGCTCAGCAGAGGCCGGGGCGGGCTTTATGGCCTTTGGCGGTTGATAACGACTACTCTCCTCGATCGCTTGCATTTCCAATTTCAGTTTCTCCTCGAAAGTTTTGATGAGTTGCTCGTACTCAGTCTGTTTCGTGGGCTTGGGTGCCACTGGCGGTGGCACTGCCGAGCTAGTGGCCGCCTGACCGTAGGCGCTACTGAAGGAATGTTCCTTTTTCGGTGACATGCATGTGGTGCGAATTTTGGTGCGTGGACTTTGTGGGACATACTTGCCAATTACGACGTTTTCATAACCCGTTTTTGGAGAACTGGGTACTTGAGTCTGACCACCGATTTCTAAACGATTTTGATTCATCAAACGCACGTTCTCGTAACCGGATGAAATGGAGACTGAACCGGTATGTGGCTGTGTACTTAGATTACTGCTGCTACCTGTGAAGGATTGATGCAGCTGCGAACCGGATACGTCGTGGTAGAAGGGCGACTTCTTGTCACGTGGCAGTGAACCATTTGTTTTGATGCGATTTTGAACCATTGGCGAGGAAGTGAGCGATGCGGCACAGCTCTGATTTTGCCGATCAGAATATTCCGTACAGATTTTTAGCATATCCTCAAGACATTCGCTCTCGGAAGTGCTAATGTTCGAAAGATTTCGACGCTGCATGCTCGGCGAACTTTCGTATTGCAAACGATGGAGCGGTGAGGAATTTACGGAGTTACTATTAATTTCTGTATTCACACCATTCATGGGGTATATTTGCAGGCCACCGTATGTGCCTGGTTTTGGGTAGCGGTCATAAGCGGGTACATTGTGGTGATTCGCGCCACTGGCGCTACGTAAAGGCGTCGTATTATTCACCTTTGCTAGGAATTCACCGCTTCCACACGCATTTGTATTCTGTATGTAGCTTGAGGTACTGGGTATGTTTACATAGTTCCCACTGCTATTTTGTCCAATACCGCCCTTTAAGCTATTGTTCAGTTGATTGTTGCGTACAGGACTGGCATTTTTATCGTTTCGATGGTTTTCAGCCAAATTCTTGGCAAAATTGGCATACTTTTGACCCAACACATCCTTGGCGGGCATATTAACGGTCACTAAGTCAGCGGCAAAGACTTTCGGACACTGAAAACTATTTATATCGATTGGCGCTAACGACACATTATTATATAAAGACTTATCACTGCCCAAAACACTTTTCATGGACTCTCTACCCAACGACAGCGACAATTGGCCATTTGACATGGGACTGATGTGTTCCTCATAGAAAGAATCAATTGCTAGCGATTGGCGCGCATCTGCACTACCATTGCTGGAGCTAAAACTTTTCGTGGAATCACGTTGTGGCACTTGAGTAAAGTCTATTTGTGGCATGGAGATGCGTTCGTTCGAACCCATGGCGGAGCGTATCAGTTGAGCCTCTGCTGGATTGTTGAAACGTAAATAGTTCGAGTTGCCGATGGTGATCATGGCGCCTTGCGTTAGGTTCGTTTCATGTGTGAGCTTTGTGCCGTCGATTAATATACGAGCATCCTGTTCGGGCACGATTGTCACTTCATTATCTTCGCTGCGGTATATTGTGCAATGAATCGGTCGAACGCCACTACCATTCAGAGATATACTGCAAGTGGAAGCCGAGCCAATAGTCATATCACCTGAGCGTCAATAAATATAGAAAAAAAATAACATCAAATCAAAAATTAAGAAATAAATAAAAAAAAAAAAAACAACTTATAAGTTACTTTCATAATATGCTTTTGTCCTCAATTTTAGGCGCGTCTTTGCAGTTTTCGATTTGACAAATATATGATGCGGCCTTCGCTGCAGCAACGCTCAAAGTGAGATCATAAATTTAAATCTTTTTTTGCATAGGTACATTTCGTATACTTTGCGCACATCATTTTTAATTGCGCATGTATGTAGGCACATATGTACGTATATATTTGAAAACATACGAGTACATATGCTTAATATCTGTGCAAGTTCCAAGAAAGTAATAATATAAAGAAAAAAAACCAAAAAAAAAAACAAAAAAAAAAGAAAGACACATAAAGCTTTTTGATTGTGACCTCTAGGAACCCAAAAGTTTTGATAATGACAAAGACACGGCTCTGTACTAGCCAAAATGCCATGCGAGCAAAACATTACCAGCAACATTAAGAAATGTGTACATACATACGTATGTGTTTTTTCATGTAAACAAACAACTGTCATAAAGTCAATATCGGAATCGAAAGCTTTTCTATATACTCGTAAATTGGACAATAGGGTGGAACACCATTTTCAAAGGAAATATAGCAACGTCAAATTTTCGTTGAATTCCAAGCGAATATTCAGAAAAAAATAATAATGAAGTCAATCTTTTAACCAAAACCAAATAATTCTGCCAATGCTAGGTTTGCTATTTTCTAATTGTAAAATAAACTTCGAGCAAAGGCGAATTCATAAAGATGAGAGCCAAGATATAAGCCTATGATAAGGAAGCTTATTTTAGTACGCTCAGCTGAAAATCATTTTTGGCCCCGTTCCTGAAAAATAGTGGAATGAAAATGAAATGAAATTTAAATTAATTAATTAATTAAAGTTAACTTTTCGAAGAAGGATTTTTCCTTTCGAAAATACGCATATAAGACACGCCTTAGGCTTGTTAGGTGAAGGAAATTATCGTTAAGCTCATTTGCTCTTCCACCATCATTGCTTCTCAAGGTCTTTACCAAATCTTAATGGCCTTGCATGGAAGGCAGAATTATGGCTTACTCTGGCGAATTGGTATGTTTTACGTTAAGCATTGAAATTTTAAAATATTTTATACACAAAGCAACTTTAAACTGGTTCGAAACTACATGATTTTATGTGGAATCGATTTTCAGAGCAAAGCCATTTCGTTTTCGAAAACAAAATGAAATTGAAACGAATTGTATAGAATGCAGAGCACCAAAATGTCCAAAAAAGGTATTTTAAATCTACTTTTACTTGAAAGTGAAATACAGAATACGCGTGTAAGCTTTATTGTTTCACAGTTTTTTAGCTTGCACACGCGGAAATCCAGGAAAAAGTTCATTGATAATATTGCGTGAACTTGTATGTATATATACATACATCGTAAAACACGTAGACTGACAGAGGAGGTAGCAGTTTCGAAGTAGCTTTTGGTAGCGCCTATCAAAATCAGCAAGAAGCAAAATACATTGATTCAATTTGACTGATAAAATAATTAACGTAAAACTCTAAACCATCAATAAAGAATTTATAATACTACTTCACCGAATTTATATAAGAATTCATAGTAAGAAGTGGGACGACCCTTATCAATCCGTCGCTTTCTCCTCCCCTTTTTTATGGGAAAATCTTTTATTTTTAATATTATTTAATGCAGCTTATCAATAACATAAACTCATTTAAATTCCATCAAATAAAGGTGTGTACTACAAACATACATATGTATATTTATAGAATATTATCTCTCCGCCGTTGGGTAAAATACTACTTGCTAACTAGTATTCAACTAGTTTGCATTTTTATCATCATATTGCTCATATTTCGTCATTCTTCAAACAACGTTTAATACAAGTATACGAAGGCCTAAAATATAACCACGTGATTAAGTGACAATACTGCAGTTCTAGGATCAGTGCACCTGAATTAAACTACCTATTTTTAATTCAATTAACTGATTGATCGTCTAAAAAGTTTCAGTACAAGTAATTCAAAACTAAAACGTTTTTTCCAAAAGCGAGAAAATAAATGAACTAAAATTACGACTTATAAGTACATAGGATCCATTAAAAGTTTTACTTACCTATGGGTATATAATGGATAGTGACAGCGGTGCTTAAACGTCCACCACCCAAACTGACCAAATGCGGATCATTGGCAGCAACACGAAGTGTAGGATCTTTTTTCGTTAATGACATCTGTAATAACGAAATAAAAAATCAATTAAATAACACACACTTCTCTCTTCAATTACGACTGCGAATTTTTATATAGAGTATTTATTTTTTCAAGTAGAAAAACTTGCCGCATCCAACATAGCCCACTTCTTTGGTATACAGTTACGAATTGTTTTGGAAGTAGATGAAATCGAGTCCACGTATTTCCGAATGTCTACAACGAACATGTATTGAGTATTTGCCTATTCCGGAAATAACTAAATCCTTCCCCATATTTATTTATTTTTTTTTTTTGAACATACGATAATTTTGTGTACATTTGTCCGATTTGAGTCAAATGTGCGCCGTTTTGTTCGTTAACTCGTAGAAGGCTGCGTCCTTTTTCAGGCCGAATTGAACGTTTGGGCATATGGGAGCAGCTCGTAGTAGATAATTCCTTGTCAATCCCACCAAACACACAGCAAAACCTGCTGCATCTTTGACATCGAAATTATCGGAACGGAACCTGGCAAACCATAAACTAAATTAATTTTTTCAGCCGCTTTGGCTGCTTTTTCGCCTTGATCAAAGAAAAATTGTAAAATTTTGCGAATTTTCTCTTTGCTGGTGTCCATCTTTGACGAGCGCTCACAACGTACTGAGTCAATCAATCGAAAAACTGTCAAAGGTAAATTTTTAGCGCGAATGAACACGTTTTTAGCGCCGTATAGTATGACATGATGCGACACGTAACATTAGTACTATGGACAATAACGCAATCCCTTAGATAAAAACCGAACGAACTTTTCACTTGAATTATTATTATGTACTTAATATTTTCGGTCACTCGATTAAGAATAAATCCTTCTCTCCTTTTGTCTCATTTTTTAACTCCACTTTGAACCGGTATATTTTCACATCAATGACAGTGAGGTATCTATTTAATATTGGCTTATAGACGAAATTTATTGTACTTACTTGTCATTTAAATAAAAGTTATTAAAATTTCATACAATAATAAATATAATACAGAGAACAGTCTTCGCAGGGGTTACAGGAGCTATTAAGTAATGTCGGACGAATACGCTTGACATACCATGTACCAAACTGTATCAAATGCTAATAGACATCTTCACTGGTAAAGTCGCAGCAGTCATCGCCCATCAGGCTTATTGAGTGCGGTTGTTGGAACCAAAAACGATTTGGATACACGATATATTAAAGCAGCTCCATCATGGTCAAGCAAAACTACGAGGGGATTAACAATAGCTCGGCAAGTTGACCAGAAAAAAAAAAAACAAACAAATAAATCAGTTTTATATTTATTTATTTGTAATCTATTTATTTCAATGGATTTCTTAAGCCTATATTTCTGTTGGGCTCCATATCATGAACTGCTGTTTGGTTTCTGAATCGTACTTAAAGAACCTAAATTCGTCACCAGTAAACGACTTTATCAAAGTTTCTAAACGGACCATTTTCGAATTTGTTTGTTTAGGTCGACCTTCTCGGGGCGAATTCTCTACGACAAAATGACCAGCCTGGAATTTTCGGAACCATTTAGAAATAGTCTTTAATAACGGTGCAATTGTTCCATATGCAATTTGGCATTCACTTAATATTTGTATTGGCTATAAATTACGCCGAAACCCAAAGAGAATCAAATGGCGAATTCCTGTTTGCGTGGGTGAAGAAATTTCGTCTGACCTATCCTCAGCTATCAAGCGTTTTTTGGCCTGCATTTAAGCTGATCGTTCTACAATTTGAAAGGGAGACAAATAAAGTAATTGCGAAGGATTTAACAAAACTAAATTGAAAGTCACCAACCGACCGAACTTTTCACACTTTTGTTAATTCCCTCGTATATATGCAACCGAGAGGGTCGCTGGCCTCTTCGGACAGCTACGGATAGCATGCATCAAATATGGGACTACCCTATAGCAGCCGTTGCCGCACTTACGATTCAGAAGGGAATAAGAAAGCAATAATCGACTTTCTCTGCGATTGTCCAGCTCTATCTCGAATTCGACACAAAACACTTTGAATGGCTACGCACAAAAAACATTTCAGATATACTCGTAAGCAGTTTAATTGAGAACACTAAATGGTTTGAACGTGACATGGAAACCTTATAGCAGATATACTAAGGTCATACCAATTGAGATAGAGTTAGATCCTTCGGTTAGCACTCTTACCTGCATACCTATTGCTACAACTACCCATCTTACATACCTCACAGGCGAACCACAAGACTGGAAGAGAATATACAAACACGAGTATTCCCCGCTTGACAACCGTCAGTAACGGTATCAGCGTCCATTATGATGGGTTGCTTTGGCTGGGAGATACGTAAGATGGGTAGTTGCAGTATATACCATATTGCAATATTTATTTCAATGTTTTCACACATAACTGTACATACGAATGCACACAAATGCATACGAAAACGCTGTCAATTTATGTGCGCTTCACTTTGATCTCACTATAAACACCATAACAATGCCTCTCGCTACACGCGTTTACATACATACATATGTACATGTGTGCGTATAAACACTTACACACGTTATCGATAATTATTTTGGCAACGTTTTGTAAAATCGTTTTTTACACAAATTGATTATTTACACGCAAACTTTACAACTTACAACAACAGCAACTGAAATTAAACGCCAAAGCAGCTATAAGCCAATGAGCGCATACTGACGTTCATATATGTACATACATATATATGTATATGCATACAACAATAAGCATATAAATTGTTTATGCAAGTTTGTAGCATTTGTAGAAATGATTTAAAATTCACTTGGAATTCACTTAGAGAAAACGCATGTGGATGAGGTTTGTTAAGTTCGCCTAGAAATCACTACTTCATATTGAAAAAAGGAAAAGTTGATGAAAGGCAAGAGAATTTTATCGTTTCGCCGTACTTTAGAATCGCGTCGTACAAAACTCCAAAATGAAATAAATAAAAACGAACGTGAAAAACAAAATATAGCTACAGCGATTCACAGCGTGTGCGTCGCTGCTACAGAGCGCGACAAAGGGAAGGTGAAAAGAATAAAGGAAAAGGTGGTTGATATAACTTTTATTTGGGCGCAGCTGATGCAGTCAATGACAATCCCGCCAAATGTTCACCATGCAATGCGCAGACGCAACGCACAGCATAGAATTGTTTTACGCAACCAAAATGCAATAACTACGAATTATGCGTGTACATAGTACATACATATGTTTATAAATGCAAGCACACGTGAAATTATTGTTTCAAATTATAAGTAGTTCTTAAAATTTTGATAAAAGTAAATTAAACACAAAATGAGCTCATAACATACAGACAAAAGGATGTGTTCAACCATGAAAATCGACTATAAGAGTACTGAAGCTTGCTCATTGAGGGGATTTCTGTTCCTATGTTTAATAAACTTGTATAAAAAGCCTCTTTAAACATTTTTAACCCATAATAAAACAAATAATAAAGTTTTTTTTTTCGTTTAAAACCATGCACTCTAATTTTTTAGAGCGAAAATTTCAGTATCCAAAAAGGCTTAATATAAAACCACATGAATATTCTTTTAAAAAATTAGGGTTGTTCTTTTCGTGCTTTAGAAAATACATGTGTTGTTTTAGTTAAGTCAGGAATTTATGAAAATGGATTGCTTATCAACCGCACAAAGCTTTAAAATTGTTAAAATCTACTACAGAAGATGTTATTTAAACGTGTCACGTTTCGTGCTTTAAGGGGGGAAGCTGGTCTAGAGCGCAAAAAAATGGACATATTTTATGAATTTATTTTGACTCAACAAAGGAATCAATCCGAAATCTGTGAAATAGGTTTGGTGATATGGGTTTCATGGTACAAATACAAAATTTTTCGTGTGAATTAATTTCAAAATGGCCACTGTCCGGCATTACTCCGAAGACGCATTTTTTTCTAACGGGTACATGACCGAAGATGTAAACTCCTTAAGTTTTTTCCTCGATCAAAAAATATTTTTTTTTTTAGTTTCTACATAACAACAGCAAGAGACGCACGCAGGATAATTTCACTATAAAAAACGATATAAAATTGTTGATTAAAAAAAAACTCTGTAAGTTAAAAAAAATCCTACGTTCGTCTTCAGAGAACGGTATTTCGATTGTACTATCCAAATTTCGTCAGAGTCGGTGAAGATTTGTTCGAGTTATGTCTTCGGTCAGTTTAAAAAAGTGATTTCAAAAAAAATGCGTTTAAAGTTGTAGGTCGCTCGGGGTATACCTGCGAGGCACTGCCGTCGAAGGAAAAATTTGGGTATTTAGATATTTTTGCCGACATCCATCTTTTTGTATGTTATTCCTAAGACCCTAAAGCACCTTTCGCTCGAAGCGAAATGAAGTTAAAATTGTCATAAAAGTTAATTGCAGAACATGCCTGATTATGATGAAAATCGAATAATAAAAAGTTCAGGTCACAAAGGTGAACTGAACATGGCAAATTAAACTCGCCATATGTTCATATTAAAGTTAAGTATACACACATATATATGTATGTATGTATCCCAGTTTGCAAGTGAACTTTTGGACCACCCTTACAAATTTAAGCGCACATATTTACCTACTTACATACAGATGTAGCTAGTAAACTGACAAACTATATTTGCGTTTGCGCCAACGGCACTACTATCGCTGGTGACTCATACTCAAAGGTATGCAGACAACAAAAAATGAGAGAACGACGAAAAATGCAGGTAGAATACAGTTTGAAAAAAACACAAATATCTTTAATCCAAAATGTTTCGGTACAAGTCAAAAGACTGTCTGCATACATTCACATACATACATATACTATATACATACATATATGTATGTGCATACTCGTATGTATGAATAGCAGCTCGGAGCCAATGTACCGGAGTAACCTAAAACCGAGGCAAACAAATGTTAGGAATTGTGCTCCAATAAAAGCACTTTTGCTTGTAAATAAATAATTTCTCAGAACTGCATACATAAATTGATTGAGAATCAACTATTTTTCTAGACACATACATACATACCAGTGT